CTGTGACACTCTTTTTTGTCATTCTTAAACCATTTCAATGTCTAGAATTCTTGTCTCTTATTTTCACAAGAAAAACAACATATTATGCGCTAAATAAATAAATATTGCATTAAGCTAATCTAAGCGGAGAAAACAATACCAAAAGTCGAGGGGAAGTGATCAGATTCCAACTTTTGTTGGTTATTGTCGGAAATCGCTGATCAGAAATCGTTGAATTTTGTCGGAATAAATCGAGCTTTGACAAAATTTCAATCGGATTCGATCATCAGAATAAAGAAAACAACTTTTGAGCTCAATGGAACATACCGTGACTGAAAAATGAGACAATAAAGAGGCATCATATTTGGCCATTTTGATTCTTACATAACCTAGAATGAAGCATTATGTAAAGTTGAGTATAGTAAAAATTTTATTCAACTATCCAAGGCCTATCTGTACAAAAACTTCTAGTATTTTTCATATAGTCATTCTCGAGATACTCCTAAAAAAGTGAGAATACCTTTAATGTTGGAAATTTTGGTTCCGCCACTAATAGACCATTCGATTCTAGTTTGGCAAGCGAGTGTACTTAATTTCATATTCTTTGGATATTTCAGTCAATTTGACAATGTAAAGATTCACTAAAGAGAGTGTAATTAGGGAACAATGTCAAAAGATCAGTTATTCATCCATGCAACTCTCGATTATCCCACAAACTGTTGAGCCAATTGTCAGACTTCGTCGAAGCCGAAATACGAATTTGTTAAACCACTATCGTCATGTCAATCAAGCGCTGTCACTTCATCGATACATAGATGATAACCGAAGAATTGCAAATGTAGTGCAATCTTTTTCTTGATGGTCTACACGTATGTCGTAAGAATAGCATTCTTGTGAATTTCACTACTGGCATTGGCCCATACTATCAGGTAACCACGAACAACCGCAAGAAACTAGTCTTGTTTCTTGCTTTTCTAAGTTCGACAAAAGATAAAATGAGGCTGTAGTTTGAAATTTTAATGTTCGACAATTATTACATTTCATTTTTAAAGAATGATACTTTTCAAAATTCATTTCTCAGAACTCGTATTGATAGATTACTTTGAATTGCTCGACAACTTTCACATCTTGTCTCGTTCTAAAAAATCTCCTTCTTTGTGTACGATATTATTCTGACAGTGTCTAGAAAATCTTATTCTTCAAATAATTGATTAGCTATTAATATAATTGATAGAATAAATTAAGCACATGTTCGTTGTTTGGTGATGCGAACGTAAAGAATGAAATCAATTCTAGTGTTGCCAGAACATTATAGCGCTGCTCTATGTTAGAATGGTCACTATTATAATCGTTGGATGCAACCTGTGCAGTAAACAGCGTAGTAAATATCGGAAGTGATGATTATTCAGCTAATAAATCAAATAATTACCAGTCAATTCAGTACATAAGTATATAAGATCGTTAGCAGAATCTATCTCACCATCTTGACGAAGCAATTGAATAAATAATTCAAATAATTTTTTAGTTTACAGAAATACAACGTAACCATAAACATCTTCGCTATTATACCAGTGAAGCACTACAACATTGCTCACACATTTTTTAGTAAGAAAAAAATCCTAAGAGAAAAGTCATGATTTCATCGACAAAATTAGGTACACTCACATGAGTGTGTTGCAACTAAACAATAACATTTAACTTACGCAGCGAAACACTAGTGTTCACAAAAAAACTTGCATTAAACAGTACTTGAACTGTCAATACGACGTCTAGTTGGTGTTAATTACTATTATAGTAATGTGTTTTTTAATGGTTGGTATGCATACATCGAGAACCAAACTCTTCTAGATCATTGCCTACTGCTTGTGTGATACTGTAAGATATACATTTACTAGAACTTTCAGTTTGAAATAATCCTTTTGGTTCTGCTAGTAAATAAAATCATGGAAACGCAAAAGATTAGTTGATTTTTAGTATACTTAAAGATATTTATCAATATCGATCTTGCTTTATGCTACCGATGACATATTGGTGATTAAATGGTAAAGCAAAAAAATGCTCGAAGATTTCACTGACATAGAATAATTACTATCATTTGCTCAAAGCTTTTCAATACTATCTTAAGAATATCTTTTTTTAAAAGATTAATACTTGTCAAGTTTCGTTTAAATATTTGAATATGATAATGAGAAGTATGACATTATCCATACTAATTTGATTTTATATATTTTCAATTAATGCACAAGAATTCATTTGTTTGAGTTGGTAGACTTAGTCTATAGTCTATTTATCACCCGTAGCTCAAAATAGGATGATCTTCTTCATCTCAGCCTTTTACCATCTCGATTCAAACAAGGGGTGTTACTTTATCTTGATTGCTCTTTATAATAAAGAATACATATAAAGATAAAATAAATGATAAAGAAATTATTTTCATGAGAATCTAATTTTTAATTTTCACCATGTAGCTCATAATAATTTATGATATCATCGATATGATGATGCTGGTGATAAGAAAGAATATCAATTAACATATTCTGTAGCTATACTATGTATTTGTCTATTTACGTATCACAAAAAAATCTTTCTTTACTTTTTATTTTATCTTTATTATATAAATATAAAGACTGCATTTATATTTATCTTATAAAGTAAAGATAAAGTAACATTCCTACCCCGAGCAAAAATATTTTGTTCTAGCCGGAATCTAGTTCTAATTCAACGCTTCATCTCAGTCTTTGGTATCGATGAATATGCGTGAATAAGAAAGGTGGCAAAAGAGCAAAGATCATGCAAGTTAAATAGAAAAACAAAATATTTTCTAATGCTAGAAAGTTTTATATTACCGTGCACAGTGACATAAACCAAAGAAGTTATTTGTTAAAATCTTTGTCATAAAACATTTGTAAGTCATTTTGCAAATTGAAAATACGTTATATATTCATGTTGTACCGTCGAAGGAATATTTACATATGAACTACAAATAAAACTACATAATTTCGCAACAACTGACCGTGATTTTAACAATGATGCGTCATACTTACAAAACAGAACATAGTTTCAATGTATAATCAGTGATCTATAAACAAATGGAACAACTTTTTTTTCGAAATTAGAAATACATTCCAAAGATTTTCTTTTGAGCTCAATAGCCAGAGCACTCTAATTTCTGCAAAATTCTCGACTTTGTTTTTCACATAAGTTTTTTCATATCAGTGAAAAATTGAAAAGACTAACAGATACTTAATTGTCTAAATAAGATCTCCGATATTAATGAAGATCGTCGACCAATTTGTGCAAGCTTGTGTGCCTTCAAGTCCTATTCTAAAGTGAAAGCATTTGGTATCAATAGATAAAAGATGCTATACTCTACATTTCTACCATATTGTATATTAGATCTATTTTTTAATATCCGCAAAAAAATTCTCCGTCAATATTTCACTTCATATCTAAATAGAAGTCAATTATAACCTTTTTGTTTTATAAAGTTAAATATCCTATTTTTCATGTCTCTCTTATTCCTTTTTTATCTATTTTATAAATGAAGGAAACTTTACGAGTAAATACTAGCTAGAAAATTTATAGAACTCAAAAGATTATCTGTTCTATGCTGACACGTAAGGAAAAAAACATGATATGTTAGTTTCTTGATAAATATCATGTTTCTTATTATAGAATGTTCTTTTTTCTTCTCGTTACGTTTCGACAGTCAATACTGGCTTCTTGAGAATTTATTGACGAACAACGAAATATATCAGAATACCTATACATCTTAACTTGTCTTCTGTCCTAATTTTCTTTTCTTTTCTATTATTAATACTATTTAATTGTCGTTGAATGAAGATAACAAGAAAAAATCTACTGCGATCATTGTCACCGCCTTGCTCACACACTGCCATTTAGTAATAACAATAGAAAATAAAATAAAACAACGAAAAACGAACATTTCTTTAACGAAATATTCAACATATAAAAATACAGCGATAAAACCATAGGAGGACATAGTAATCAAATATATTTGGAAATTGAATATTTCAAGAAAGAAATGTTCATTTTTGCCGAAACTTCCAGGAAAATCTAATGACTTGCAAACGTATCGGTAGATATAATTTCAGCTAAAAACTCTTTGTTTTGTTTTTTTCGAAAATGCTTTGCCCTCGGCAAAAAATTGTATTGAAACGGTCATAACTCTTGAAAAGCAGACCGTGGATGCGAATCGCTTTAAGGGTTTCTTAGTCTTATCAAGAACTACTTGTAGCCTTAATTGTGAAATCGAACGGTATCCGACAGTTGAATATGCTCTCTCGTAAGTTGTGTCTTTTAAGTAGTACATAATATTTTTGCAATAATAAAAACTGAAGAAGACATCATCGAATGTCGAAACGTCACGAGACAAAATAATATAATAATAATAAAAAGAAAACATTTATTACGAAACCAACAATCCATCACGACATTCTTTAACAAAAAGGAAGGAACGGGATATTTATTTATTAATTTTCCACTTTGACAATAAAGAAAATCTGTTCATTTAATTTGCTTATAGTAGAATAAAAACGGGACATAGTTGATGTTGTTATCAACTCATTTAGTTATAATGATGATACGTGCAATGATATTTCTCGTTTCATATATTCTAGTCGATAGTCATTATTCATTATATTATTCTGATCATCCTCAAGACTTCTATCCTTCATTCAATTGTTGATATGCTTATACAATCACTAATGAAAATGAATACAGGGTACCTTATATTCGTAATTATTATTTAACTCCTTATTGTCGAAGACCTGATTATGATCAAGAAGAAAAACATATGGTAAATATCAAAGATGAAACTCAAAGAAAACCAATAGTATTTAATGAATTAAAGAAACAAGACCTGATTCGTGAACAATTACTTTTTTGGTCGGCACCTATTGATATTGAAGAAAGATATAAAATCAATAAGACAACTTGAGAAATGTTTTACAATTGTTCACCACCATGGTTTGATTCTATGTGTCAATACAAATTTCTTTATGATTTTTTTTTCATCATTTGGTGATATTGTTGATGGAACTTTTGAAAGTCGCTCACAAACTGAATACAATATTATTGATAGAGCATGTTATCGATTTATAGATAATTGTAATCATGAATTATGGCCTCTGTGTCTTGATTGGCGCAAAATTTGTGATGGAAAAGCTGATTGTATAGATGCAGAAGATGAACAATGGAATGAGCACAATTAGAAATGAGCGCATGTGCTAATAATCAATATCGATGCCATTATGGTGGTCAATGCATTTCACAAACATTTGACAGAGATAACCCTTACAGCATCCATTGTTTAGAGGGTAGCGATGAGGAACAATAGTATTCAACTTATATTGCATTGTTCAACCAATGTTGTAAACAGATTTCAACTTTTATATGTGAAGAATGTATTAGTCAATTTCCTCACATTTTTCAATGAGGTGATGACCAATACTATTTTGAAATCGTGTTATCAAGTTATACAACTGCTTGTAGAAGTCGACGAGACAAAGAAATATCTCGACTGTTACTCACTTCTTTGGATCGTATATCACAAATGAACTGTCAACAAGCATTTCTATTGTGCACTTTATCTCAAGCGAAATTTTGGTAAAGTAGAAAATAAAACAACATATACTTGTCAAATAGTTTAGCGAACTAAAGAAAATGAGATTTTCACTGTTCATTAGATATAATTTGATTAGTTAAGAACAATCACAAACTCTTAATTGATAAATTCAGCTGGTTAAAGCCTAACATTGAAAATTTTCTAATATTTTGATTAGATGTTTTCTATAGATTTTCACGGATACTCGTTTAGGTTCTGGCATAACTCATTGCAGCCATCGAAGATAAAATTTAGAGATGTGCAGGGTAGAGGTTAGAAAAATTTTTCAATCAAACCACAGAGTACGAAAAAGGTTACTCAGCACATCTCTAGTGAAAAGATCCATGCATGCAATATTTACAGCATAGCGTAGCATAGATACATTGACATCTGAATAATCGATATAAAGTAACGTATAGATACGCATAATATTCGAGACATCAAAGATATTAACATTAGTGTGATATAGTATGTTTTTGTTTTTCCGCTGTTCTGAGCTTCGGCAGTATTCTATGTGTGTCTTTTCGTGTACACTTGCGTTTTCATGACATCTTCAACTGGTGCAATTTCATGTGGCCTCGGTTTCGAGACACCCTTTCATGGTGCAGTAATTACGTATATTTGTATGAGATTGAAAGAGTATCTACTCTAAGAACTAATTAAGTCTGCTATCAATGAAAGGTTCTCATTGAACTACGCAACTAATTGTTACAATATATAACCAGTTGCTGATATAAAAAAGTGTCAAGTTCCATATACGGGTATTTCCATTGAGTCTCAACCATGCTTACATGGAGCATCTTCGAATAGTAGGAAATTTTCAGAATTTGTAGATCATATTGAACTATTAAAACTACCAAGATCAATTTTTTTAAATTTCATTAATAAATAGGAACATATTGAGTATGACATTTTCTATGATTTTTATGTATAATCACGAAAATAGGAATATTATTGAAAATAATTCTACATAAGAATGTTTCGATTTAAAGACAAACTCTTAACTATATATATGTATATATATATATTCGGATAGCTCGTGATCTTGGTTACATTTTGACTACAAAATATGGTGGTTTTATTAATATTATTACCATGTTACTCGTTTATGTACATGGCCCATTATCTATACCAAAGTATGTATTCTTGTGCTTACAAAATGTTCGTAAAAACTTAATTCATTAGCATAGCCAAATGTAGGGTTTTACAGAGAATCGATGGCTCTACAAGATACACTAGACTCGGGCTCTCACTTTTTTTGATCTGACAACATGCAAAATGAAGAAAGATGAAAAACATGGATTTTTCAATATTATAAAAGAAAATATGTCAGTTTTAGCAGTAAATGTAAACTTCAAGGGGAATATATGCGGGAGGTCTCTAATTGTAATATTTAATTATTAACAACGATAATAATTTTTTAAGAGATATTTGCAAAAAACGCGAAGATCCCTGAATTGGGAACTGATACCCCGATACCAATACATACAAATTGAAATAAAGGAAATGATTAGACATGGCAAAGCTAAAATAATTAATATAATTGGAGAAATCAACAAAGATTTATGCTGTGAAATTTGTTCACGAAACAAATTTCCGAAAGATTGACTAGTTATATTTGTTCGTTGTTGAGTAGTCATGACAATGATGATAACAGCTGATACAATATTAATAAGAAATGGAGCCGAAAAATGAAACATATTTAGCATTGGATTAAATGTTTGAAAAACCCTTGAATAAGTAACAGTACACAAAATACGCTTCTTATCATCATATAAAAGACGTTGATGAATAGGATCATGAATAGTTGTGTTGATAGCTAGAAAAACAAAAGCCAAAATAATATATTTAGCCATTTTTACAGTTTTCGTCTTATCAAAATGAACTCCTTTTATTGTAGTAAATGCTCGTTCCATAGCTACGCATGCATTCAGCCAGTAATCTGTTATAAGACATGTTCTCAAAAGGAAATCAAGTGAATAACATTGAACAGTGAGAAATGATCGATTTTTAACATACGACATATGTGCAATGATAAATATCCAAAATTTCAATGCAAATATAATTAATTATAATGAGAAAAGTAGTAATTGAAGAGCTATACAAATACAAACCATAACCAACTTTTTGGATTTCTGTATTTTTAAAAGTAATCAGGAACATAACACCTTTGATAAGACCTACTATAATCAAAATTGTCATTAATAATACACTGATTTTTACAATAAATAGTTGACATTTTATATTAATATGTGGTTGAACATGATAGCCTAGAATAGCATCAAGTGAAAGACCAAAGAAGGCTGAAATAAATTGACATCTTGCTCCATAAAAACATTTTGGACAAACACATATTGATGCTTATGGACATGTTGCTTTATCTTGCCAACATTTTGCACCATTTTCACAATTATGTACTTTGACCAAAACAATCATGTTTAATTGAACAATTAAATTCAAAACAATTTGCTGAACATTGATAATCGAAATTATAACATGAACAAAAATGAGTATCATCAGAAAAGCAAGCTATTAATGTGGACTGTCTTTGACATGGAGGATGATAGTATTTAATATGACGAAGAATATGAAATTTGACAATGGTTTCATTTAATATTTCACTTAAATGTTCACAACGATCTTATGGTGTGATTGTTTTTTTAATGATTGATGATCGATTGTATGTCTTTTGAACAGTAAGTAAATTATTATTATTATTAAAAAGTTCAATAAAAGCTATATGAAATTGATGTGACCATTAAATTATACCTGAATTTTGATTGATTGGAATGTTTTTAAATGTCGAACCATTTTCTGGTGATGTATTATCAATTATTTGAACGAAATGAACTATCGGGTGTCCCAGGAACAATGAGCCTCCCAGTATTTTTAAGATTTCCTGTCTATTATCACTGTAAGTAAAGCTCTCATTATTATCAAAAGATAGCGCTTAAAATTCTCTACAAAACCATAGATGACTAGGCTCAAAAATAGTTTTAGGTATATTTGAAAAAAGACGAAAACTAAAGATATACAAAAAGCTGTAAAATGTAAATAACGAATGTTCCATAATAAATGGTTGCGCTTTGTANGTGGTATTTAGTTATAAATCAATTCTTTAATCCTCAAATTTAAATATGATCATCCTCATGGTGAAACAAGAAAAAATATGTATCATAAGAATTTTTTTCTTAACGGCTTCTAGGAGCCGGCCGTAAAGGGTTATGACTCATACGAAAAAAAATCGAATAAAAGACTATTGGTCTGCAGATCAACTTATCTCCACTTCAATTTTCGCTCAGATATTCACTAGAGATCAATTTCTGTCAATACTGAAATTTCTGCATTTCAATGACAATCAGCAACAACAAGCTGGTGACCGGTTGCATAAAATCAGGCCAATCCTCGATGATTTGAGAAAAAGGTTCAAACTTTGTCATACAAGAACTGGTGTATTGATGAGAGTCTGATGCTATGGGAAGGACGTTTGAATTTCGACCTACACATACCGTGAAAATGACAACGATTTGGCGTAAAATGATTTATATTATGTGATTGCAGTACTGGTTTCATTTTGGATTTTATAGTCTATACAGGCCAACAGACCGAAGTTCAATCGGATAGTGAACTAGGAATATCTGGTTCAATTGTTATGACTCTGATGAACAGTTATTTAGACAAAGGTCATATTGTATTTCTTAATAACTGGTATACAAGCCCTGTTCTATTCGAAAAGCTACACTATACACGAGCCGATGCTTGTGAAACTCTCAGAATCAACAGAGTTAGTGTGTTCACATTTTCTTAGAAGTTACGGCAAGGTGAAAAAACGTTTTAGCATACGAACATCTTACTTGCACTGAAATGGCGTGGCAAACGCAATGTACACATGTTGTCTACTATCTATAAACGAAATATGGTGGTAACTGGTAAAATGTACCGCGCAACGAACAAACCAGTAGTAAAACCTATTTGCATCAAAGGCTACAACGAAAATATGGGTTTATTGGATAAATCAGATATGCAAATAAGCTTTTCAGAATGTGTTCGCAAAACGATCAAATGGTACAAGAAGTTGTTTTTTCATATGCTCGATTGATCGATGTTGAACACATACATACTATATAAGGAAAAGAAACAAGTAACTCTTGAGTTCACTGATTTTCGTGTGCAAGTAATTCAACAGATTTTTGACAAATATGGTGCTCAACAGAGGCCGAGAAGAGGTCGGCCATCTATTGACGAACCATTACGGCTGATGGCTCGTCATTTTTCATCACTAGTCAATGGAGGATTACGACAATGTATTGTCTGTCGCACGACTGTCAAACAAAAAAAAACGATCGCGCATCAGGCACGAATGTGCAGATTGCGGTGTTGGTGTATGAATTCAAAATCGTTTTTGAGAGTACATACTTTGAAAGTATATTAATAAACTTCAATGGAAAAAAAGAACCAGTTGATTCTTAAAAAATCTTGTTTTTCTATTTTTTTTTCAAAAAAAGCTAATCCCGTCTTGAAAGGGTTCAAAGAAATGATTGAATCAATAAATTTTCTAGATAAAATTTTAAAAAAACATAAAGCAGTGAACAATGATTTATTCAATTGATTAGTCATTGATGCAAGCCAAGTCACATTACCATATTTATATTTCTTACCAGACGTTTCCAAAGTAAGGCACGTAGATTATTTTCTTTTTTTATTGAATGTTTTCTTGCTGAGATAGGAAAACGAAATATCATTAGTACCATTTATTATATCAAAACATAGTGCACGATGAAAGATTGGAATATATTTGAATAAATTATTACAACCATTTGTTCATGAAATTTTACAATCCACAACATTTTACGATGACTTTGATTTTATATGAAAATTGAATCAGTATCGTCTTACTTCAGCAACTCTCTTTTATGCCATTAAAAGAAAGTATCTAATTTTTATACAATGGATGTACATTAAAATATTATTGATATAGTTGATTACTTCTTGATGGATAACTTAGAAACCAATAAAATTAGGCAAATAAAAAACCTGACTATTCGAAATCTATTATATTTATTTATTTATAATTAAGTCTTTTTACTATAAAGATAAAATCTATACATTTACGAAAGGTAGTCGAAATACGATAGTATTATAATGGATATACTATCAAACATTTATTTATGTGTATGACAAAAGAAAATATTGAAACAAATACAAAACACAATCGATTCTTTGGAAGGTTATCTATCTTCTAGCTATATGAGCTTCTATAGTTAATTTTGTTGTATTTTTCTAGATAGAAAGATCACATCTTTTTCGCATGGAATAATTTTCATGTTGAGAACTTCGTCCTCTTTTGACAAACTATTAAAAAAAGCTTTCCAATATGCATTCTCAGAAATTAATTGGATCAAGTGTACAAATTTTAAATGCATATGTCGAAAATCTACATGACCAATTATATAGTCGAGCTTATCGTGATCCTACTATTCAAAATTATACATTACCGTATGTAATGGGTCATTCAAAATTAGCTTATAGTAATTGGCTCCTAGGAGCTTTAATTCGTGCTGTTTGTTCCCATGTCACGAGAACCGGATCATTTTAGCAGTAAACAGCGATAATTGCCGAAACCAGTAATTTACCGCGGTTCACCGGTCATTTTCCGGTGAACTGTAGAAAATAAATGGCTGCAGAACGAAAAAAGACATGCATATGTACATGTGCGTGTCTGTCGTATCATTCATGTCGTTTGCTTGCTTAGAGAAACGAATCAACATAACGATAACGAGGTTCAGTTGAGAATTAATACTTTTTTATATTTAAGTTTTTGACATTTATTATTTTTTAGATCTATTTTTTATATTTATTTTGTTTAAGTTTTTTCTTATTTGTTTTTTTTAGATTAATTGTTTTATATTTATGGTTTAAGATTAATTTTTTTGTGTTTATTTTTGTTTATGTATGTTTTTTTGCATTGGCTTGTATTTTTATTTTTGGTTGAAATAAAAGTTAGATTTACTGAAAAATAACTTAGATTCAACTATAAATATTAACGAAACAAAGAATCAAACGTGCCGGTTAACTGGACAGAAGCATCAATTAATTGCGATTTCCCGCAAGAAACCAGAGGGATACCGACAGTTTTTTTCCGGTTTTCATTACATGAGTTATCGTTTAGCAGTCGATGATTTTAATCAAGAACGAATTTATCTTGAACTAACTTGTGTTGCGAACGTTTATTCACATGTACAGCATATTATTATTATTTTCATGCTTATGCAATGTTATATTCAATGTATCAAACCATATATGACAAATTACGTCATCAACGGTTTGGCTTTATTAAACAACAATATGAACTTTCAGAACAACTTCAAAAACTTGATGATCATTATCATTTAATTCATTTCAATTATTTTTATGAATTTGGTCCAAGATGTCAATTCAATCAACAGCTTTATCATCTTTGGTCTGAATATTTTGATAATCATCCAATCCTATCCAAAGAAAAGTCGAAGATTATTCTAGTGTCCAAACATCTCCACTTATTAAATGCTTTATTAGCTAAACATAAATAAATTTACGCTATTCAACAATAAACATATTTCTATTTAACATTTTTGTCATATATATTTATACAAATAAATCATATTCTTTTTTTATGTCATCTTTTCTTCTTTTTTATTTTCTGTATATTCCTTTAAAATTAAACCTCTCGTTTCTCGTTTTTGTTTTCAGCTTCTAGATAAATTCTAGTTAAAATTTTTGTACACAGCTGCATTATTAATTTCAACATCAAATTCAATTCTTATTACAAAAAAGATAAACTATCTAATAATTATTCATAGTAATCTGATTCTTTGTCTATCTAGAACAGTAAATATCATGGTTTCAATACAACAAGTGAAAAGAAATGTCGGGAAACGAAAATTAAATATTGAACTAAGCGTTTTATCAACATTTACGCCACTAAGTCAATATCAAATATATCATATTAATCGACCGATATCTACCATACAATATTATTGGGTCTTATTGAGCGGATAATAAGAACAGCCAGATTGACTATTGATACACAAGATGATAACTATACATATCAACCGACAGTGATTCAAATAGAATTTATACGAAATCAAGTAATTGTATTCCTGATCGAAATATTTTATTTACCACATGAATTATCATGTAATATGTTGGTTGATACAATAGCCTTAAAAATTGATTTTAGACTCATCAAATATTATTAATTCGTGGGGTGATGCAAAGAATGAATTAAAAAATTCTTTTTGCTTATGAACTTTTTTTCATCCGAAATACTCTGTCAAATAGATAATAACAATATTCAAAAACGATTTCAAAAATGACGCAACAAAATACCAAGACATGAATTTAGTTGCCTATCATCCGATAATTATAATCCGCTAAGTGTATATGCGCATAAATCAATCGAGGATTTTAACCATAAATGGTCACTTCAGATGATCATAATTTATATTTCTCGACAAAACTCAAACAAAAGGTTATTGAAGCTCACAACTTGATATGACAAGTGTTGCCAGACTCTCTGAGGCGAATAAAAAAGAGATTAAAATGGTTAAACAAATGATTCAATATGATGTCCATGACTATTTGGTAGTCACCAAATCAGTAATATTATTAAAACTCGATTTGACGAAAGAATGATTTCAAGAATATAACGAAAATAGTCGAAAATAATTGTAATTAAGTGACACTAGAAACTCATGTTGTCTTACGAACTTATATTTTTCTGTCTCATTTAGATATTTTACATGCGTTAATAAAAACGGAACAAACATATTTTTAATCTTTCACTGATTTTTGTTCTTGAATATCTTGTTCGAAATAATAGCGAAATGTGTATCATCTTATTTCACGAATTTTCTAAGATATTTTTTCTTATTATTTAATAAGATAACTTTTCTGTTTCTGTTACTGGTAGATGTCATTTATCAAATAGTCATGTCCCTTCAGAAAAACAATATGTTCAACTACTGTCAAAAAACCATCAACAAGAGATTTCCAATTATATTGAATATGCAACCTTTACTTCTTAATAGGTTTCGATTTCTTATTATTTTTAGATGAGTCTAGTCTAACATGTGGAAGTGATGAACAACATCATCAATCATTTATTCAAATAAACAACGAAGAAATCTATGAAATAAAATAATCATGTTTTCTCTTGTTTGAATAGTCATCTTTATAGTCAAATGATACTAGGACAGCATCGTCGATGACAATCAAAAATGACGATAAGATTTATAGTCAACAACTTCGAACAAGAGATATGATCGGTACTTTGTTTGCTTGTATACAATGCTATACTAGAATTTCATGGCGTGAGGTAGAACCGATAATAAAATAAAAAGAAAGCAACAATTATTTTTCATCTTGTTCTTCAAATAATGAAATTTTAGATCAAAGCGCAAGACCATTGTTCCAATCCAAATATACAAACAAAACTTGACTATCAAATGCAAGAATTTCGAGACGAACAAGGAAAAGCATCATCACACGTTGGAGAAGAAGAAGTAGAAGAAAAGTATGATGAAGGACACGATGTGAAAGATTTTAATCCAATGGACACTTTTATCAGTATTGATTTACCATAGCCACAATCACTATATGTGATACAACGAAAGATGACTTATTTCGTCACACTTTCACTCATACTGTTTATATTCATTTTAATATCTTCTATGATAATAATATTACTCTATAAAGTAGACAGCAAAAGCAAATCATTGTTTTTTCTATATCATCTGTCTTGTTTTATTTTGCTTCTTTTATTTGTTGTACATATAGTATGGCTAAATTTTTCTTCTCTGCATATTCACTGTTTTTCTAAGTTTCTATAGTTGTCAATGCTATTTATAGATAATTTCATAGATAAGTTAATACATAATTGCCGAAAAATAGAGACATTTCATACATATTCCATTCTGCAATATTCATAATTGGTTACATGACTAATTTAACCAATTTATTTACGTCAAATATAGTCGATCAAAAGAGTAAGATATTTTAAAGATACTTAGTTACATAGTATGCATCCATATATCTATGTTTGAAATTTTCATATAGATATGAATGTTGAACAAAATTCAATTATTTCATCTCAATCAATAACACCAAGTCATCAAGATATTTTTGGGAGTGCGTCATCCACCTTATTGATGTGCATGCAATTCAGTCATATTATTGAATCTTCCTTCTACAATAGGAACAACAACCACAACAACATTATTTCATCATTAGTGTTACTACGAGTTGATATTGTCATATTCGAAAGAGTCAATGAACAGTAATTATAGTCATCTGATCGTTGTTTAATATAAATGATTCTATATTGAACTATTTTTTGTATTGAAACAAAGTTCTCATATATATATATATGTGTGTGTTTTGCCTTGTTATTTTTCCTGCTTTTTTAATGAAACTATTGTCATATTCAAAAGTATCTCTAAATAAACATATTTAATTCTTATATTCTAGATTTAAATCTAATTTTTCACTACACTATGACTAGGGGTGGGAAGTTCCCGATACGTTCCCAGGTAACTGGTAACGGAAAAGTTACCGTTACCCGGGAACGGTAACGGTCTGGGAACGGTAACTTCCCACCCCTAACTATGACAAGATGACTCATAACAACTGTAACTGTATTATAGTCTCTCATAATAATCTATCACAAGATTCTCAAGGTCGTTGGAAGCAAATGTTATTACCAACACAAGTGCTTGCCGAAGAAGCACAAAACATTATCAAGAAGAAATTGAAACATCTTGAGAGTTGAAAAATTAAAGTATTTGAAGCGTAAATAGCGAGCACGTGATTTAAATAAAGAAGAAATTAAAACATTAATTCATACACGAAATCAAGCAATATCTGAGCAAGTACTAAATGTGTCAACGGTGCACTATCAGACCAAAAAAATCAAACAAACGAAAAAGACATCTAGCAAAACAGAATTTATTAAATGAATCTATTAAATCAATGAGTCAATTATCTATATCACTAGGAATCTCTAAAAAGATGAAGAATTGTATGGGTAGGACGATATTATCTACTGATAATAATACGTATCCTTCGAATCCAGACGATGGTATCTTTTTGTGAAGACTATCGAAATACTTAAAAATGTCACAAAATTTCTTTTTCATTCATTACATCTTCAATTAACTTATAGATTAGAGAGAAAGAAAGAGTAACAATTTACAGTATCACGATTTAAAATATTTGACAAACACTTTTGTCTTACTCAAATTCATTATTTATATCAAACTTATTTCGATTTCGATTTACAGTATCAAACGTGGATAGTAAGTTGAACAATTGTTCTCTCTATCTATATCATAATTTTGGTCTAATTTGAAGAATGATATTCTCCATATCATACAATTAAATTAACATAGTGTAATTCAAAAATATCTAGAACAATATAGGTGATATGATTAAAAAAAACCCAATGAATCAATATACAATTGAATTAATTGCATAGTCAACATCTTGTCCATCCACATTACCTTCTCTACAGATAATGGATGAGAGATCAAATGGATTTGTTCGTTTACATCATATTGATCTCTTAAGAACAATAAATTGTCAAATTAATAAATTAAAAGATGTTATATATGAAAACAAAATTCTTTAAATTCACTCCCACCCCGTCAAAATAGGATCTGCAAGTCAGCACACGCTATAGTGCTGATACTTTGTGCATATATTGGGAGTGAGCAGTTATACACATAAAAACCATTCCGCTTCATATCTCTTGCTTAACGAGAGGTAAGTTTAATTTTAGGATATGCATGGTAGTCATTTTGACACTTTTCGTATCTTCAAGCACATTTAACTACATTAAGACATAGAGTCAAATCTTATTTTTTATTTTAAAGAAGACATTTCGAGCTAGTGGCTCTCGTCGCCCTTCTTTTGATGTTCTTCTTTTTCCTACTCGTTTGGTCATCTGCCAGGCCGAAATTCTGAGAAAATAATGCAAAATTCTTTGAAAATAGCGAATCTTGAGAAAAATAACTAATAATAAATACATTTTTTCTGTGTTTAAGCCTTAAAAAAAAGTGCCACAAGAGTCACGGGCCCTAAACACGCACTTTCTCACAAAAAACAATATTTGACTTTATCACATATCGTGATAGAATGCCGTTGGAGATACATCGTCGAGCTCACTTTCTAAGCAATACGTGAAACAAGTTTTTGAAATATTTGATGCTGCCAAAATATAGTTTATTTTGCGAATATTTCTGCACAGATAAATGATAAAATTTTGATTTTTTTTTCAGAAGACTCGCCGTGAGCAGCTGTACAAGAAACTGTATAAATAAAGAGATGTTCACGAAAAATTAAATTTATCCTGTTTTACTCTTAGTTTCTCCAAGCTATCCCTTTAGTTGCTTTAGCCCTTTTAATCCCTTTAGTTTCCTTTAGTCATTTTAGTCCTTTTAGCATCCTTAGGCACCCTTACTTCAACGACACTCGCACCCGTACTCATACCTCTATTCTAAAAGGTCTAAAGGAACTAAAGTGTAACGAATATGAAAATCTTACCAGTTTCTACAGTATAAAAATCAAATGGGTTAAATTTATTCTTTCGTGGAACTATCCTCATTTGAGAAAGCAACTTTCGCTGTCCGGACTCATTCTATATATATGATACATCTACGTAGTACAAACCATGCCGAAATTATAGCATCATGGATAGTTGTTGAAGCAACTTAACTGGCTAAAGCAACCCACCAGTGATGGGAAGATATGTGTTTCAATTCCCTTCCCCACCGTAATTTTATTAACGTGTTATGATATAGTATTATTTGTAAGCCAGTTATTAGTTGTGATATTTAGTATTTTTGATGGAGGGCAAATGAAAGAACGATGGAAAATATGGATATGTTTCATTAAGTATTGTCATTTACATAGTATTTAATATTTGTTCTAGCGCATTTGTGAAGCGAACAGCTAAAATTCGTTTATCAATTCGACTATATTGGTTTTTAAAGTATGGGCTCAAAAACGACTGTGCTTGTTGTGGTAAGCGACTGAGTAAAAATGGTAAACACCCGACAGTGATGAAATCACTCCTTATTTTTGTGAGTACCCGCTTGTTTCGTTCAAAAATATCTGATGATTGTTTCATCTACAACACATGTTGTTCGATGTACAAAAAGTGAGCATCACAATTTGATTTACATAAAATATTATTACAAATTGATGCTTCAAATGAATATGATGATAGAATAACTGAAAAAATGATGAAGCGTCAAATGGAAATGCCCCAGGTGATTCAGAGACGAATTTTAATGACAATATGTAAGATAATTATATATATGTTAGTACATATTTAGGAATTTTTTTATTTTGCTAGAATAGTCTAATGATTGATGACGAAGAAATTGATGGAAGTGATTCAAATGATTCAGATATGGATTATAATGATAAATATGTCGGATGTTCGATATCTGTGTATTAATATAAACAAAACTTTTTTTGATATCTTAGGACCATCTATTAATTGTTCATAAATCAATTGTTACTGTTAACGATGGTTTGAAATTACCTATTGATATAGCTATTGCATCAAAAAGGTAAAATGTAATTTTATTGCTGACTTCAGGAAACTATTTGTTTTAGTCAATGTTGCGTGTGTCATATTCAATTGGTTCTACCAACAGTTACTGTTAAAAAAGAAGATCAAAACAACATCTTAATTCATCGCAATATTGATTTTCTGAAAGAATCACGTTGCTGCAAAGATCATACCTTAAATGGATATTTATCACGCAAAGATTTCTTTAAATTCACTGCTTACAAAGCTGATTTTAAGATATTCGATTGTAAGTATAATGTTAACACCATGCAAAGACTTCGAGCAATGGTCAATAGTAATAACTGTATAGATTTTGATGATCCTTTCTCGTTATCAGATACCAATTATAAAAACCTCACCGACTTCACACGAGTGAAACATAATCATGTTCTCTCAGATATTCCATGAACTGTTTTAAAAAACTCAATGGTGAAAGTGTTGATTTTGTCTTTATCAACAATCGTATCCACATTCTCAATATGCATGTATCATTATATTCGCTATTTATTGAAAAAATATACACCAAATTTCAACAATCATAAAAATAAAGTCTGGTATTTCTATTGATTTTGTGGTGGTGGTAATCCCAAAGCTGCGAAATCAACATGAATACAGCAAACGCCGCGTGTTGTTGCCGGTGGCGGTGGCGGTCGAGTAGTAGAGACCGCACCAGTTGAAGGAGGCCGAGGTGGACGACCGCGTGGTACAACACAATCATGAGTCGAAGGACATTTGGGTCCGTTTTGTGTACGATCACATTCTACGTTGGGTAGAATCGCTGTTTCGTTGATGCATGGTGATGAACGACATTGACAGATTTCGCATCCATCTTTTCCAAAACGAAAGAGATACGGGCACACTAAATTGCAGTCGGTCAGCGGACGACAGTGACTTGGTGGTGGACCAAAACCTGGCGGCGGTTGTATTGATGGGGATTGTGTGAAAACAAGAGAGACAGTTACAAAGAAAATGATGAGTATCATCCTTACTATCAATTTGTTTTCAATTGTATTGGACTTTTTCTTTTATACTCTTTCTTCTTATAAAGACAATAAGAGTATCATCAAATGCCATGTTTACCAAAGGATTAATATGTATCAACATGGGGACTACCATTTCTGTGCTTCTTTAATAGTACATTGATGATGGATGTACTTTTAGAAAGTCAAATAAAATATCTTTAGAGACATAAGTGAAAAAGTTTAAAAAACCTTTACGATGTTGTTACATATTCCGATGAATAGCTACACAAAAAGGAAAAAAATAGATCGTGAGTAAAAAGAGAGTGAAGACTTTTTATATTCTTATATAAACAAAAAATATTTCGACAGAAGCATTATCTCGATTTGTAATCTACCAACTCTTTTTATTTGTTGCTTTGTTATTTTGGATGTTGTCTGTTTGTCTACATGCCACAATAATATATCATTCTTTATCGTATTAATTCATTTACCATTGGTTGTTAATAATCACATTGTTCAAGTCCACTGTTATCGTTTGTTTAACATGGCACTGAAATATTTAGCTCCACATTTCTCGTTTAATAATGTTTTTCAGAATAATAAATAGTGATCACTAATGATTTCTGAGAACACTAACTATTACGGATGGTTTTTAGAAAATTGATTAGTGACCAATAATATGTTCCAAAGCCTGTAAAATAATAAAAGTATCAAATCTGAATATCGTATGAATGTCCAAATTTAGTCTAATAGCATGAACTACTGAACAGAAGAATAAATCATATTTATTGTGAATGACTGACATAAGACGTATTTTTTATTTATAACTTGACAGTCAAAAAACAACCAATTAGCCAAATTTGGATTATTCAAAAAAAGTACGACACTGTTTAGATTTTCGAAAAAGAAAATTTCGGAAGTTTCAGAAATTTTAATAGCATAGTCTCCAGAAACCATAGCTACTTTCGAAATTTCTCGCTATGAGTCGTGCTGTGATTAACGCAAAGATGAAAATTAGAGAGATTTCGATAATTGTTAGAGTTATTTTCAAAAATCTGAATATACCTCTCTGAGTGTTGAGTAAAAATTTTTCTGATAACAAATCGACCTAACTCAAAACTTAGTGAATTTAATTATGACAAGCATATAGTATTTAAATTCATCGTCAACTTAAACTTACGTGAGATACGAGTACCCGAGGAGTACAGATAACTCTTCCTAATTAAATGTTCTCTCATGGTCTTCTTAACATTCTGTTATTATTCGTACATAGGTATTAAGAAATGAAACACTATTTCCAAAGAGTATTATAGCAGAAGAATATGAGAAAAAATTTGGCGAAAAAAGTTGCTTTAATTACCCTTTGGTACTGAGTGGTTGCACCATTGGTAGAAAAGACTCTACTATCTTGTATCTCAAACTATAAGCATTAAGTTTTATTCAATATTATAGGACAGACTATCAAATCAGCTTAAGCTATGGAAGATTATTCTGAAATACCTAAAAACATATTTTATCAATAATCTACTACAAAATATTATCTTTCTCGGTCTTACTGATCAATTCTCATTTTTCAAATTACATAGTAACACGTTGGAATAATCAAAGCAATCGATTTAATACTGTATACTTATTTCTAAATTCTCTAGAGAAGTTGAAAATACTGTTCTGTAGATCTTTGAAGAGACATATTTAGTTAAGTTCTTACGAGGAAATGTTATCAACACTTCAATCATATTTTAGTCAAAACCTAGCGGATCACAGATAATTGACCATAGTGATTCTAAATATCAACATGGTTTTTGTCACTAGATTTCCAAAGACCCAATAGTCTCGAAAACCAGTTTTTCATAGATAAAAGCCTTTTTTAGTCAATTATTTTTTTATCTGTTCAGTTTGTAGTGCCTCGAGTTCAATATACAAATCTCTTTTTCAAAATTCGACTTCCTACAGAGGAGCTAGGGAAGTAAAAGGTTTTCATTTTTATTATATCTCACATTCCATATGTTTGATTAATAACTTTTTTTTTATATATTTCAGATATTACTCGGTTCATTTTCGAATTTTTCATTCGACTATTGGTCTATTTTAAACAGTATTATTATAATCTGTCATTTAGTTCGTCTGATAAAATCAGTTTCTGATTGCCACGAAAGGAATTATTTTGCACATATTTTACTAGTGATTATCTTCTTACTATCTCGCTTCGGCAGAAACTTTAGCGATCATGAATGCTGTCAATATCGTACATTAACATTCGGATTTCATGAATGCCCTCCTAAATTTTATATTCTACTTCACCTGACATTCAAAAATAGTATGAAGTGCAGGACTTGAATGGAATAGAGACCTCACCCTCACCCACATGCATATCCACATCTAACTTATTGATGATCACAAATCTTTCCAGTAAAATTTCCATATTGTAACCGTTTTATATTATCAATATTTTGACTTTCCAAAAGAAAAATATGCACTTTTACGTAATAATAAAAACAAGAAATTCAAAAGTATAATTGAATCATTTGTATCTATTTTTTTATGTATATAGATTTAATAAAATTTCTTTAAAATATAGAAGAGAAAAACAAAGATACAACAGCAAAAGCTGACATACTGTTATTTGTAATTCCAAATAATTTCTCAGACAAAAGAAAAAAAACAGATTGCATAAAAATCAAACTACGATAAGAGATCAAATTAAAAAAAAGAATTTTATATGTACGTGTAATACACTGTTAAAAAAGAAACCAAGCGATGTGTGAGTGACTAGGGTCAACTAATTTGTTAGAAGAAAAGATATTTTTTAGATATATACACTATCTGTTTACTGTAATTGCCGTTCGTATGTAATTCTAAGATTCAATTACAGCGATTGAAAGAGAAAATGAAATCTTATACATTGGTTTTCGATGATGATCTTCGTAGTGTAGTATAAGGTGTTAGCCGAGGAAAATTTGGTGATGTAGTTGAAACATATGTAGATGATAGAGAAGTTATTGGGATAGATATTGATTCTTCTGAAGAGACAAAAAAAAACAAGTCATGATTAATTTTCTTTATAAATTCACCTGTTTGCTTTGTCGGAATATGAATATCACATTCTGTATGAAAAGAAAACAATAATGAATAAAATATATAATAAATGATTATTAGTATTTCATACCATCAAAAACAGCAATTGGAGCATTACTAATTGGATCAATTTCTACATTAATTGTTTCATTTATTTGAATATTCGATCGAATTGAATTAAACCCTGGTTTAATACCATCACTATTCACTGGATCACGTGGTATTAATTGTGGTACCATATCATTGAGTGTCTTATCTATATCAGAAAATAGTTATGATTTAAATTGGAAACAAAAAAGCGAAAATAACTTATGAGAGGAGGGGCTGCAGAATTCAGATATTCTGTAGACTTGTACATTTTAAACAAAATATACTAGATAACCTGTGCGGCACTAGTATATATCTCATCCTAGAATTCTTTTCTTGTACAAGAATACAAAGTTTGACTGTGAATACCAGTGTTTTATACATTCGAAACGAAATAAATTCTTATGAAGAATTTTAAAAAGTCAACAAAATTTAAAACAGAATTCTATTTTGAACAATTTTGATTAGGTTAGCATTCAAGAAAAGCTTTAAAAAGTAATTTTTAGTGATACAGTTGTTCTTCTAAATTCTAGTAATATTCAATTAGGCATAGAATGGAAATTCTATGAAAATAAATATGTAGGGTAAGAATATTTTCTCTGTTGGTCATTATTAAGAATATCAAAGAAATCTTTTCTTCATATACATTGTTTTTCTTTGTTTGCATTTTTCAAATGGAAATAGTTCAACCATGACCTTTTATCGCATGTTACTACAAGAAGATCAGTGACTAATATATAATTCCTTTTTTTGTTCTCTATTAACATTAATATGCGAGAGCTTGAAACTTTTATCTAGATAAAAATATACTCATATGGATAATGAAATTAAAAGTGAAAAGATATTTAATTATTCATTTTGTTCAGGAGAATACTTAATCAGTAAAATGTTATATTGAGTCTGTTATGACACAATTCAAGAATGAATGTCAATTATTTAAACTAAAAAAACGACCTAAGCCATTTGTAGTGACAATGACATGAGTTTTTGCTGTATTTTAAAGAATTATATTCCATGAAAGAGTAAGATTATGCTTTGGATCATCAACAAACTAATTTATTAGTCGATGATCCAATTTGAATTAGTTTATATAATGAAATTAACAGCACATTATTAGAACGATCAGCTGAATAAAAAGTAATTAGTTAGACATATATTATAAGGTATTTCACAATTTTATAAGTCAATCATCACCTTGATATATGTATCGAATCGATTCATTATATTTGAATATTTAATTGACTATATCAAATAGATATTGACAACAAATCGATTTTTTCTACGAAATTTATTTATCTTTCAAATGGAAAAAATCTACTGAAGAATAGAATTGATTTAGATTCGGAAATCTTGTGAAATAAAAACAAATCTATTCACATATTGAGATATTCTTTTAAATATTTTCAAGATAAACTGAATTAAATGAACCTGATAGAAACATATGGCAAACTATCTCAAATGATCTTCTTCTTGAAGTTTCTTTTTGCTCATTAACTCTTCAAAATCTCTTCAAGTTCGCTGATTTTACCTGTTTGGAAAAGAATCAAAATAAAAAATATGCAATTTTGTTTATATATTTTTGAAAAAATGACAAAGTATTTAATTTAATTATTTGTTTTGTTGAAATTAATTCATTATTTCAAAATAAAATATAATTCAACTTGAAAACTTAATTCATTTATGATGATAATCAAATGTTCAATTCCACTTTCTCAATTAACTTGCAAGATTTTCTTTTCTTTTTTTGATGAAAGCTAAAACTCTAAGAAATTAATATTGTAAAAAGAGAGTCATTTTCTTCTTAACTATTTTCAGATAAAACACTAATTCTTATATAGGTTCTCTTTGAGAATATAATATTCTACAGAATTCTATCTAGAATATAAATACACCAAATATCTAATAATTACTGAATCTCATATTCCATTTGCTTTATAATATAAAACTACACAATTCTGAGTAGAATATAACCAGAGCAGAACAGTTATGTAGTATCAAATAGTTATGACACTTATATAAGTTGCCTTTGAGAGCATAGAATTTTACAGAACTATAAACAGAATTAAAAGAGACGAGAACAGAATATGTTGTCTTTGATAACACAGAATTCAAGAGAATTCTATGTAGAATATAAACAGACTAGAAAAGAATAGTATTTTTCTTCGAATTGCCATCTCGTGTTAAATTTGTCTTGTGGAACATAGAATTCTATAGAGAAACAAGAAGATAATAATAGAATTCTATTGTGATAATTAGCTCGTTTTAAAAAGATACATAAGTTCACATAATTCTGAATTCTGTCGAGTAGGCATTCTGCAGTTGCTGTTGAAAAGAGTTCAAGCTTTTAGTGTATTGTTAGGAAGAGGCTCTATTTTTAACGTATTTTTTAATTCAAAAACGTGGTCACCCACCCACCCCCTCCTTCCATTATGAAAGTTTTAGATGTTTTGATTAGCTTCTATCCTGAAATAAGATTATCAAACCTATCGATATATATGAATAATGTAAAAGATACACTTTTACTACAGATATTTTGTAGGATAAGAAAAACGAAAAGATCTGAAACATTCATAATAAGCTATTCTCGTTAAGGTCTTTGTTGATATAAAGTTGCAAATTTTTTATGGCATATATCTAACCGAGACAACGGTGTCAAGTTAAAAATACCGTAAAAATGTAGTATCTTCTTAACAATAGCCTAAAGGTCCGAACTTGTTTCATGGTATTCATAACTCATTAGAGCTTATGTGATTCACTTACGAGCAAAGTCAATAGCTAAATATCCTTGAGTGGTTCGAGCTATTGAACCTTTTTCACTGAGATATCGAATATTTAGTGGATTTTTTCTATAGAGCTTCAATCCTCAAGTAAAGCCATGCTTTTGAAAATTGAACTGAATCTTTGCCTACACAATGACTTCGATTAGACTATATTGTAGAAAGAATTTCACAATTTTTTGACAAAGACTCTCCGCCATATGAACTTTTGAGTATATATGTGCTTGGCCTTGGTTATTGTTAAAGGCGTGAGTACTTTGAAAGATTCATATTTCGGAGAGATTTTGTCAAAAAATTCTGAAGTTTTTTCTACTAGTCTTGTTGGAACCATTATGTGAACAGTTTCAGGTTCAAATTTTGAAAGTATGATTTTGTTTGAAAGCTGAAATCTTACAGCTCTAACCACTCTGTAATATTTATCTACTGAATTGACTTCATCTATTGAAAGACCTTCCTTCGCTAAAGAGTTATTTTCTTTTTCATACATCTTACATATCCACATGCAGAACAAAACAATCCAAGAAATTCTCGGCTACGATAACGCAAGGATAGAAACTAACTTTTAGGTCCTTAGCATTGTTTTTCTCTATATAAAAGAATACTTACAACTCATTAAAACAGGTTCTTTTAGTTTTGAATGAGGTCGCCGTCGTTTAGCCTAAGAATACAAAAGACATAATAATTTTATAAATTATAATCAAAGAATATTTTTTTTACTTTAATATGTCTCACAAGCATAAAACAGCAATAAGCTGGAAGTCCAATTCCGGCACAAACTGCACCAGCAACAACAGCCAAGCATAAAACAAGAGGTGCTGCTAAAATTTTTCCACATAGAATTGAACCTCGTATAAGTCGACGTTTAAATGGATGATCTGGATAAAAACGATATTTGCAACCGAGTACACTTAGTTCACTATAATGATCACCTAAAATACATTTTCATAATAGAAATATTAACTATTAAAAAAAAAACAGTAAATTTTATATATACCAATAAATTTAATATCTCGAAAACGACCACCACATTTATAACAAAATTCTGTTTTACAACGAAGACAAACTATATGATCACAACCTTTAGTTCGTTGAATATATACCTTTAATAAAATAAATAAAATAAATTGTAAGAAATTAATAAAAACATTTTACTTTGCAAGATGGACACTGTTGTGCATTATGTTGTCCATAATGAACTTCTCTTGCCCATTTTTTTAACATTCGATCACCACGACGAAATTCCTTACATTGTATACCATCATGCCATGGTGAATGACATTGAAAACACCAAATTAAATTACATTCAACACATTGAACTTTAGTTGGCGCACGACGCATTGTACGAAAAACTTCCGGATCTACAATACAAAAGATTAATTATAAAAAAAATAAGACAACGACATCAATACCTATTTCATGAATATTAGAACATCGTGGACATGTTTTAACATTATTTGAACGATTTGCATCAACCAAGTATCGTGTAAATTTTTGTCGTAATTCTGGTGATATACATCGTTTATTAATTTCATCCCGATGCATATAAATTTTACATTGTCGATTTGGACATTGTATACGAACAATACCTTGTTTGATTTGTTGTTCAACATAAATATTTAAACATGTTGAACATGCATAAAAATTACAACAAGATCGATTTTGAAGACGTTTCATTTCGCAACATATAGCACATTCAGATAATGTTTCACATAAAGTTATATGATGATTCGGTAGGATACTTGTGAGATTAATATCACTATTTTCTTCATCAATTGTATGATCAAGTTCAGATGATATAGATTTATTATCATCATCGTCATCATGACCATCATCATCATTTTCATCGTCAGAATTTTCTTGAGATTTAATTGTATCTGCTAAAAATCGTCTATTTAATGTACTATGATGAGACATAGCTGATGATGATGATGACGATGTTGATGATAATGGACGAGTATGATTTGATGGTGCACTATTTTTTCGAAGATGTACAATATTAGATGATGTAGTTGTTGGTTGTTCAGCAAGAGCTGAGAGAGCTGTACCAGTAGCTTCACCTGCTTTACCCGCTAATGGTTGATGATGTGAGCGACGTGTAGAATGAATCATTGTTGGTGGTTTAATTAATGGATAATTCATATAACGTTCGAGAACTTGTCGTTGAGCGGATGTTAATGGTAAATTAGCACGAACGTTTGGATGACGACTACCACGTTCTGAATGCCATCGTCGTTGATTACCTGTTGAATTAACATTCGTTGTTGGATTATTATTTGAATATGTAATTGTTGATGTTGTTTTAAGATTATTTCGTAGTAAACTATCAAGTATAACTGTTGAACCAAGAAGAATTTTTCTATTAAATGATTGAGTTTTTGTGTCATTTGTATCAAGATTTGAACAATAATAACAATTATTTGATGTTTTATTTTCATCAGCTAATAAAGTTTCAGCAACATGTTCAAGTTGTGTTGTATAATTTTTTTGTATAACAACAAATGAACATGAATGATTTAAATCTTTTTTAATACATGAATCATCAACATTTGGTGTTGATGATGAACAACAACAACCAACAATATTTTTATTATTAATTATATCTTTAGTTAAATTTAAATGATGATTATCATCATTAAATAAATCCAAATTAAATAATGAACAATGTTGCCATTGTTTAACATCATGATGATTTACAGATGGTGAAACAGCTGTTTCGTGTTGTATGCTGTTTGACATCTAAAATTTATAAGTAGATTTTATTGAATAATATTTCAATATAATAAATAAGCCATGATGATAGTGATGAAAGAAAACAAAAATTAACGCCGATGATGATCATCGAGTGTTTTTTACTTTGGACAAACTTTATTTGATACATTTTTTATCCAATCAGAAACATTGTAAATTAGACGACATAAGTCAATATTCATAATAGAGGAATTGATATAACAACTACGACTTCCATGGAATTAGATGAGAATACAAAGATAATATTATTTCGAAGAAAGAATTAACAAATTAATTCTTAGAATCAAATTTTTCTCGATAAAATAATTTTCTACTATTTTAGTCAAAGATTATGCGATTAACATATAAATTATTTTAGTATTTATATATTATCGCTTAGCGATAAATCTTATGTTTAATGTAAATATTAGTTTTTTTCAACATAAGTGTTATTGATAAAAAATGACAATTTCCCATAAACAAATATTTTGATTGGCATTCTTTTTACTTCTAAAATAATCATTTCTATTGTTTATTTTAGTACTGGTCGATTAAGAGTATGAGTGAGAGTAAAAATACTCCGATCACAACCTACCATGTCAAAAATCTCAATTTGATATAATAAACCACTAGGCTTCAGACATTTTTATTTATATGTCAAGAAAAATAGGTTAAGATTCATGATGTTTAGTCAATACAGAAATGTGCAGATAACCTTTTTTCATACTTCTTTATCCTAACTCACGTTTTTATTTTAACTCTATCCTACGTTGCAGATCGTACTACATATATTCTTCTTTTCCTTGCCCTACCCTATCGTATCGGATACGGTTACCTTTTGCAACTCTAACACAATAAAAACGAAAAAGTGGTTTATAATTATTTTTATATGACTGATTCGGCTTTTTTGGGTCTTATAGAAATAATCTTTGTAAATTTTATGAGCACTTATTCTTGTTGAATTTGATCTATGCATTATTTCAATGATACTGACTTCAATCTTTGATAATCCTGATTATTTTTATGTCATAAAAAAGAAAGACAAAGGCAAGAGAGTTGAGAAAAAAAAATAGAATATTACATACAGAAAAATAAATCAAATTTTTTCTTGATTACAAATATTTTCATATACATGCATTCATAAAGAAAGATAATGAACAATTATTAATCATTTTAAACACTTATATAAATTAAAAAAGATAAAATATAAACACTGGGTTGAAAAGTCACGTTATAGTGATAATACAAAAAAGGAATCATAGTTGATTTGCTTGTTTTTCTTTTTTAACAAATTTATATTTCATTTACTCATTGCACTGATAAAAAAACAAAGATAATAACAGGGTTCACTTAAATTCAATTCATCATGGACGTGCATGCATATAGAAAAAAAAACAAATAAAAAAAAAACAAACATTCAGTTTTGAACAAAAGGGATTTCAGGTTTATAAATATGATTTAATTGGAAAATATAATGAGAACATGAAGAAAAACTCTTCTATAATTTTGATGGAAATAATTTATGCAATATAAGTATATTCATCGGTTAAATTTCGTTCAAGATATTGTTTATCAATAAGAATTTCGATACATTTTTTAATCAAATGAATTGATGGTATAAAACGTTGTTTCGATTGTGTTATAACTTCTTCTATTAATAAATTATGTTTTAATGTTTTTCTTGATTTCATTATTCGCACAATAATAGCTTGAACATAAAATTTTCGATCGTCATCAACAGTTTTTTGAGATACTTCAGAATCCTTCAGAAACAAAAACAAGTAAGCAAAAGAATAAAACAGAATAATTTATTTACTTGATTATTTTCTTTTTGAGTGGTTGGAAGAATTTTAAATTTTGTTCGTTTACTTTTATATTTAAAATTAATTGAAATAACTGACTTTGCGGTTAAATTATTCTAAAGAAAACAATTATACAGTTGATGCATAAAACTGATCATATTATAAAGCCCATCGGGTTAGTCTCAGATCCGCTAGTTCTCATACGACGTGTCTGAGAAATGTGTAGAGTACACTAGTCATCGGAAATAAAAAAACCAGGAAAAAAGTATCTCGTATTTTTGAGGCGGTTATCATATTCCGATTAGGAAACTTCATTGAAAGTATCAAAGTACGGTTTGATCCAGTCCTGAATTTAGGCTCGAGTCCGCGAAGAAACATTCCCAAGTGACCCGCTCTGTTTGCCCTTGTATTTTGCCAATATGTGGGAAACCACTAGAATAGCGTAACCTTCAAAGGTCTTCTGCTCATGCTTATATTTGTCGAGATAGTGACTTTTTAGATGATCTCTCCTGTGGGAGCCCAATTTTTGAAAAAATATATAGTTTCGAAGTTCGATCAGAAACATTGTACATGTGATGAAGGTTCTGATTAAACTTTCTCGTGTATAAAGTTTCATCAGTTTCGAATATCACATTGGTAAGATATGACTTTCTCAACATATCCCTATCTTGCACAAACACTAAATGAAAAGCGTAGATGTATGAAGAAATTCATTTCTTAGCAATACGATATCTAAAGCTGATGAAACTTTATACATGACGTAGTCTCATAGAGACCTTCATGTGTACAAAATTTCAGGTCAAAATTCCAAATTATATATATTTTTTAAAGCTAGACTTCTGCAGAAGAAATCAACGAAAAATTCACTATTTCGACCAAATGTAAGCATGAAAAGAAAACTTTTGAACGTTACACTACTCTAGTGATACCCTACATATTGAGAAAATGTAGGAGTAAATATAGCAGGTCTCTTGAGAATCTTCCTTCGTTAGAGCATACTCAAAGTAGTGTCGGATGTATTTTGATTTGTTATCAAATACTTGAACAAATTTTGGTTCTATATGGTTTGATAGTAAAACTAGTGCTCTGATATTTTGATTATTCTTCAAATAATACAATAATAATAAAATTCCGATAACAGTTGTTTGCTAGAATATATGACAGTAATATTAGGTCACATTTTGAGTTTGACGTGTCTTCTTTTTTCTTGCTTTCTCTAATGTTTAGCCGCGTATAAATATTAGAGTATACAAAAAGAAGTGGTAATGGAACAAAAACGAAATACAAAAAAGAGTTCATCAAGTCTTTATTTGATTAAATGTTCGAAATAATCGTCCTGATTAACTGTAAACTCAATTACATTCGTTGAATTCATTTATCGAACATTTTACATTCTACTTTACTCAAAGAATTCATGATCCTGTTTCTATATTTCTGTTTTTGTCCTACCGCCACTACTTTTTGTATACTCTAATTTGTGTACACGATTAGGCATTAGAAGAAACAAGAAAAAGGAACAAGACGATACGCGATCGAAGACAAAATGTGATCTACTATTACCGTCCTATATTAGAGCAAACAGTTCTTATGGAAATTTTATTATTATGATATTAAGCAAAGTTATCTATTAGTTATACAATTAATATTGATAATAATTATGAAGTTTTGATGAAAATAGAACTTACAGTATCATTTAATAAAAATTTATTTTCAATCAAAGGTAATATTTGTTTTTCAAGTTCTTTTATATTGAGTTTTGTTGCTTCTTCAACTTCATTCAATGTTAATTTGTTCTGTTGATTAAATGTTAATAATATAGCCATTTGATATGTACCCATGGTAACAAAATATGGACGATCCAAATGAGACATACGTATTTCACCTTGAAATAATACATAATAATTTATCCTATTCTAAACAGAATTACTTACCATTCGATAAATTATACATCCAACATAATTTTCTACCATTGTATTGTTTATTATAAAATGCTTCGAACTAAATTGAATACTAAAGAATATATTGAACTAGAAGATAAATAATTTCCTACCAAACGAACTGGTTTTTCAAGTGGTTGAGGGATTAAAAATGTACTCGTAGTCAATGGGGCAATGGGCCATGAATTAGCCTAATTAATAAGAAAAATGAAATAGAATTTTGTTTTCTTTATTATAAAGAAAACTTCTTGTGCTTGATAATTACTTGTAAAACATAAATATTAAAATCTAGTCCAATTAAATTAGTCATTGTCTGTTTTTGTATGTTTAATGATGATTCAGATTTGAGGTAATCCAAAAATTTCGTATAAAGACCATCACTAACTTTCACATCTTGAAACATGCGAGCTAGTTTTGCAGTAAATTCATAACCACATATTTCCTATTTAAAATAAACATAATCTTAATGATGAAGCCAATAGCTAAGATTTTTGTCATGATCAATAAAAATAGTCTTACTGTTAACTTAAGCAATCATTTTCATTTATTCATACTTTTCTGTTCTAAAACTTACAAGAGAATATTGTCATGTGATAAATCACTTGTGAAATAAGTCTTAGCACATGTGTTTTTAATGAGTTTTTCAAAAAAATACGAAAATATTTTGTGCGAAGGAACATTTTCAGCTGATCAATCAATTTCTTACCAAAAGCTAATGGATTGTGATTATTCGATCATGCTGATTTTGAATATGGCTATAAGAAGCTTCCGTAGGTCTTCATGTGCTAGTTTTTCAGACTACTAAACTTTTAGCCGAAAACTATTTTTTTTTCAATTATCTAGATTATAGAGCATATCGAATTGCTTAGAAAACAGTAACATTTTCTGTTTCAAATTGTTTTGCAGAAAATGCAGCCATTTTCGAGATGATATTATTTTACTTAAAATTCATTTCTTTGGAAATAAGAATAGATTGTTGTCTTATAGACGAGTCGATATGCTTTATAATCTGAATAGTTTAAAGGTGATCTTCGCAAAATATTTGTTAGCCTGGAAAACCAGCACATAAAGAGCTACAGTGATCTCCTATGACTACATACAGAATCAGCATGGTTGATAATCCGTAGTCTAACAACTTATAATAAGAAAACTATAGATCAGTTGAAAATTTCTCTTCGTTAGATTATCTTCAAAATTGACTTGAAAATTTTTTGCACAAACAAAGTTCTCAATAGGAATAATTCATTGTAAATATATCAAAACCTTTAGTATCTCTTTTCTTAGAATAAAAATATAAGATTAAATTTTCCCCTTTTTGCGTAATAGAATTTTCAATATTACTATCTTGGAATTAGAGATAATGAGAAAGTCTGATACTTTTACTACAAACTGATAGAAATATAAGCTGATGCAGTGATCGACAGTAGCTTAGCCTATCGACTTATACCTTTAAAAGCTGAATAGTTTCTTGCAAGACTACATTGATATCAAATTTGAAGTTAATTTTGAAGATAATCTGAGAAGGGTCTTAGTATCTTATTGAAAAACTCAATAAAATGGTCTTAACTCAAAAAGAAAGATTCGACACTAAGAATCTTTTTAGACTTTTTCTAGCAGAGATGAAACCGGTACCGATTACTTGCAGACTAGGTATTGATACTTGTCGTAAAGAATCCAGACCGCTTCCATCATTGTTCTCTAGTTTAAATACAGAGTCTAACCAAAGAGTTACGATTGAGCTCAAAACTGATTTGTTACTTAGCAAGGTTCTTCTGTTAACTCATCTATGAAAACATAGTACATAAGGAAAAAAAGACACAAAATACCTTAAGTTTTGTGACCATAAATTCTTCGGCATCAATAGATGTTGATTGTTGATTAATAAGTCGACGAGCAAGCATTTTTTGATAGAACTAAAACCACTAAATTCAATATCTTACGTGTTTCATACAAAACTTACACGTTGAAAATAATCTTTATCTTCCAAATAATTAAATATAGTAACTCCGTGAAGTAATTTTTCTTCTATTTCGCTTTCAGTTGATGTTTTCGATGATTTACGTAATAAACTATCACAATAATGGGCAAGCTAAATAAACAATAAATTAAGATCTTAAATAGAATTTCATAAAATCGAAAACTATACTAATTCAGGTGCTTTAGCTGATAAACAATTTCCATTTTTCATATTAACAATTGTCGCACAAGCTTTATCAAGTGATGAAATAAAATCTGGATCATTAGAAAATGTTTCTTGTATAATATTTAAATATTTTATATGTAATTCAAGTAATGTTTCAACAAATAATGTTGGTAACTAAAAGAAATTGATTGTTTTTAAAGAATTTTTTCATTTATAACCACATACATTTTCTCCTTTAAGTAATTGAATTTTTTCATGACCAATACGTGATATATTATTTTGTAGTTGTTCAACCATATAATTTGTACCAATATGTGTTGGTTTCAGTAATTTATACATGTTTTGAAGAGCTAAAATAAACGAAATAGAACACAATTTTAAAAAAATGTCTAACATAGATAAATGCTTCTTTTTGATTACCATCATAATTTTCTTTAAGAATAAGTACATTACATTCATTTTTTAATGTATCATAATGGTCACAAACAAGACGTTGAAGACATTCATTATTTACTTTTATATATGATGTTGGATTTAGAAATTTTCGACTACGAAATTCTTCATCATCAATTAATAATAAAATCTATATGAGAAAAACTTGAAAGAAAAAATAATTTATTTTATAAATTTACTTTTTTCATATATTGAATACAATCGAGTTTAGCTAAATAACGATTTCCTTCTTCTCGATAATATTCTCCTGTTGCTTGAAGAAAACGAGATTCAAAAGAATTTTCATAGAGCTTCAATAAAAAGTACAGAATATGTTTTTTAAATATGAAAAAAAAAGATAAAAAATCAATTTTGTTTTTTTACTTCTAATACATTAATCTTTCGATGCTGATAAACATCAACAAATGACATAATTACACATTTTATTGTCGTTTGATTTACACACTCTCCTATGCGATCACTAAAAGAGAGAGAGAAAAAAATAAATATCGAGATGAAAACTATGAAGTCTACAAACAGATATATTTGTTCGAGAAGTAATTTAACAAGTCGTTCTTTTAGTGATTCTAGGATGATTTTTGTCCAACAATCAAGGGCCATCTAAAGCAAAAGAAACAAAAAAGTTCAAAATATAAATAGCTAGATTATCGATATTTAAAGTGAAAATAATTTGAAATAATTCTTTTTTAGATTTTCTACATATTAAATATTTTCAAGTATAGGTTTAATGTTGAGACATATGACTATTTCAATTAAATAAAATCTCTCGAGTATAATCAATTGTGAAATATTTAAAAGCTTTTTAAAATGCAAATTTTATCAAAATATAATAGATGTTTAATTAGATAAATTAAATTTTACCTCTCCGATTTCGACTGGCGATTGATCATTTAAGTCTATACCATATTCCAGGAGCATACTATTTCCAGGGTCAGTTACTACTTGACTTTTTTTAACAAGTAAATTATTTAAATATCTAAGCAAAAAACAGAAAAGTAAAACTAAATTTTCTTTTTTTTTAATGGAAAAATAAATTCTTTCTTACGCATAGAGACTATTTAAATGTTCAGCACCCAATTTATATTCAGTCCAATATTTCACATAAATGCTAAGCGTATTTGGTTCAGATTCACTTATATCCTAAATAGAAAATCTTCTACAAATTTCATTTTTAAATATTAAATAATCAACTTTTTTCATTGATCTACAATGATCCTCAAGAAATCTTTTTGTTTCTTCGTATAATTGTTCAGCATATGAATCTGGAGTAGCTGCACACAGATCATAGATATCTATATAATATATTTAAAATGAATAATAAATAATTTTCTTTTTCTTCTCTTTCAAACCAAAAAATCTTGTCTGCCATGTTGATTTGTCAGTACAACCATAACGACTCATATTGATAACAGAACGAACAGTACTCAGTACTATCGGCCATAATTCATTGAAATTAACTTGTTTTGGTTTAATTGATGATATCATTGTTTCTATTGAATTTAAATAAAAAGTAAATTGAAATACAATTCTTAAAAAAATTATTTTCGTTAAACATTATTGAGATTGGAACTCATGACGGCATCTCTCCAGGTGTCAAATTGCTTTTCGACTGAGACGATGTTTAATTGATGAGTAATTGAAAAGTCTAGAATAGTTCGATTTTACGAGCCCTCGATTTTAAGATCGAAATTTTACTGAGTTAGCGATGATTCCCCTCAGGTCATGTGAAAAATCGACTTCAAGCTTTGTACGAATCAAGTTCTCAACGGGATTAATTTATTGAGGAAGTTGTAAAATTTCTAGTATCTTCTAAAATTTGATTCATATATTTGGATCTTCAGAAATGAAATACTAGAAAAGCTAAAATTTGCCCCAATAAACTAATCTCATTGAGAACTTTGTTTACTCTAAAACTATATTTAAACTAAACATAACCATCACCATTCGGGTTAACTTAGTTGAATACTTCAGACTTACAATAGTTTACATTGATCAGCAGTTAATTGGCGAATGTCAAACTATCAAGTAACATGCTTCGAATCCTTGAATGAAATAAGCTAATAGGATTAGTGTATTGCAGACCAACAGAGAGATAATTTTCGATAACTTCGGATCAAAATATACATAGAAAACTGACCAGTTTGATCAAGCCATGGTCGAGATAATTTCAATGAGTTTTCTTTTTTTGGGATTTCTCTCTCGAATGATCGAAACTACAGATTTCTTGCTGCTTTCACTCCTGAGATATTCAAAATAAAAAAAGGTACTAAAGTGCATCGTATTTCGATACCAAAAATAATATCTTTAATCAAATGAAATTCTGAAGAAAATGAACGATTGTTATTGTTATATTTTTATTTCGACAATTTTTTGCAACAGTATTTCAAAATAAACAGATAAATCATGAAATGATCGATGGTGTTTCATTTTGTTTATACTAAAACTTCATCTGTAGAGTTCAATAGGCATTATGCTTGACAAATCATTTGATAGGTTATGCAAAATATAAAAAATATTCTGTTTTTACATTTTTCATCAATAATGTAGATTGAAAACAAAGCTCTTTGTGGCACGCAACTCATATATATAGACTATGCTAATTACAACCTTTTTCTTGTATATTGTTTTTTTTAATTTACCTAGTTAATATATATTTCTTTGAGTTTTCGTTATAGTATAAACTATGACATTATCTTATCGATGAATAAGACAAAATAAATAGATAATCTAAAAATAGACACTAGTTGTATATATATGTACATATGCAAGTCATAATTGTTGTTTTTTTGTTTGTAATACAAATAATCATTTTATCAGTTAACACAAATAATAGAACAACAAAACAATCGAACAATAGTAACACGTGAATATTTGTGAAATGAAAAAGTTCTATACACACTGTGCTTTTATATAAGACGTAAATGTTAAATAACAAACTGAGTATCAGGAATATATTTATTGAAAGACAAATTTTATATTAGGAAATTTCTGTTCTAATGTTTGTTGTTCTATTGGATTTAATATCACATTACCATTTAATGATAATTTTCGTAAATTGGAATGTTTTTCAAGAAATTTTTCAATACCATTTACTGTACATTCTGTACAATTATCAAGTATTAAATTTTTTAATTGAACAAATGGCTTTTCGGACCATTTTAATAAACAATTATCATTAAAATTATTAATAGAATTTAAATTTACAGTATGTAAATTTGGACACTGTTCATTAAGATTTAAAAATATATTCGTACTTATTGTTGTACAATTATTTAAACTAATCATTTGAACATCAGATGTTAATCTATTTAATGTGTGATCTGTTAAATTAATACAATCATCCAATATTAAACTATTTAAATATTTACAATTATCAAAAACAATTGTAAGATCTTGATCATTTAATGTTAATAGTTGACCAAAATCAATATATTCAAGTTTAGGCCAATAATGAAAACATGTTGAATTTTGATTTGATGAAAGATTTTTTAAACCAATACAACGACTTACATTTAAATGAATTAAATTTGGAATACAAATAGCTATTGTATCAAGACTTATCCATGTTATATTTGTACATGCATGAAGGATAAGATTTTTTAAATGAAAATCTGTTTCTGTACGAATAAATATATTAATTAATAGTGTATCATCTAATATTTGACAACCAGTTAAATCAAGTGTTTGTAAATGAATAAATTGTGAATAAGTTGTTAAATGATTTAATGTTGATTCTGTTATATTATTCCAACGAAGATTAAGTGATAAAAGATTTGAGCAAGTTTGTACTATTATTGGTAATAGTGTATTAGGTGTAAACGGTTCATGATAACAACCAGTCATGGTAAATTCCATAAGAGTTGAACCAATTGTTTGAAAAAACTCAAGCCATTTAATATTCTCGGAACTAAATATATAACAAATAAATTAGTTTTAAGTATTATGTTAGATCTCTATGAATAAATCATCGTTATGGGTATCATTAGTCAATAAATTCATTTTTTCTGTGCATCAAAATAAGATCTGACTTAAATGATTTGCACGATTCTACTTACTTATTTTCATTTTGTTGTTGCGAATTTTCAAGATTTTGTTGTCGACATTTAATAAATGAAAGTGAAATAGGTTTACGTCGACTAATACTATCAAACCAAATTTGTTCTAACTCTGTTCGACGAATAATTATTATTCGATGACGACATGCTTGATCTTGTACAAGTAAATAAAAACGCTTACAAACATATGAAAAATTATGTAATTCATTTGTATTTAAATAAGGTAAAATTTTAAACCAAAGTTCTGTTGGTAATTTAAACCATGGTGATAAATGATTATGTGCAAGTATACTATGTTGTAAAATATTTGTTAATGGTGTTTCAATTTCTGATGATGGTATTGGAGATTCAGATTTTGTTGGTATTGGTGAAGATGATATTTCCATCATTGTTGATGGAATTGTTGGTGATGGTAATGGTGTATCTTCTTGTCGTTGTAAAACAGAAAATTCTTCTTCAAGTGCTTCAAAATTTAATAACTCCATATTAGCTGGTGGTGGTACTGAATTATTATCATTGATTCTTTCATTTTCACTATTCATTGCAATTGATCGTTGTTGTTGCTTAAGTAAATGTGCCTTTTGTAAAAGACCAATTTCATTTTCTAAATCTTTTGCATATATAATTGGTACTAATTGTGATTCACTGATGTCACTACTTGTTTCAAGTTCATCTAATTCAAGTAATGGAATATTATTTATAGTTCTCATTTGTTCTTTTAATGGTACATAAGAATAATTTTCTTCATGTTCATCTATTGTCGAATCAGCATAAATCATTTCAGATGTTTGAAGTAAATCGTCAGTCATAATGGAATTTTCATTATGAAATGACGATAAATCATGAAGAGTATCAAATGTTTGTTCATGATGATTTATTTCAATATTTAATGAACGATTTATATTAGATATATTTTCATCAACAGCAATTGTGGAAGAGTTTCTATTCGTTGGAAAAGGTTGAGATAATACAATAGGAGCTAAGCGAGCATACTTCGAAACAAATGACATTGTAGTATCATCAGTACCATTTGATATTGAAGAATTTTTCATTAAAGTAGCAGTTGGTTGTGAATGTTCACGATCTAAATGAAGAATGAAATATTACGCAGGAATGATAATTAGAATCCTTCGAGACGAACTTTTTTCAAGTCTCGAATTCTGTTTGTTCTGTCCTAAGTTTTCAGAAATTGTCTCATTGGCCAAAAGAAATATAAAGATGCCGTTCTAATAGGGTCCTGCTGGACAAAACTTTTTTCGAGTTCTGAATTTTGTTTGTTCAGTTCCATTTCATTTTCAAAGTATCCCGATTCCAAAGGTCTGATGGAACGAGACAAACAGAATTCGAAACCATCCAATGTCACAAAAACTGGATTATTCTTAGCGGTAAACCGCAATATTTGTCAAAACCGGCGATTTACCGCGATTAATTTCAGCAATGGGACTCGGTAACCGGATCGATAAAACCACGGTAAACCGCCGGCTTTTTGCTGGTTTTTATCACATGAGAAACTGCACAATAATGACATTTAAAATAGTCAAAACCGACGGTCTGCCGCAGGTCACCGTCAATAGTCACCAGCTAACTGGTAAGTTGGACGGTTAACCATGGAAGACCGGGCAAAAGTAATGGTTTACCGCGATTAATTGCATCAATGGGAGCCGACAACCGAACCGGTAAAGCCGTGATACATCGTCGGTTTCTATTACATGAGGTCCCACAAGACTCTAGTGATAACGAAAACTTAATCTTCTCAACATCAGGTGACTATATTTATAGACGAGAGTATAATATGACGTGTAATCATGATTCTGATGTGATTTTATCTTCAAGTTAAGATTTGATTATTATGAGATTATAGTTTGTTCTCATGATTCGAGATTAAATAGCATTTTTTTCATTTCATCTATTCGAAGTTCTTTATATTTAACTGAAATTTTTTTTAGTATGATTGATTGTGATGTATCTTTTCGATTTGTCTTATAGAAGAACAACGCAAGAGAATAAAACAAAAAAAAAACTGATGCTAAAAAAATATGATTTACGTGATGGTTTTTCATTGCTAATAGAAATCATTTCATGTGTTTGTGTTATTGTTTCTTTTCTTGGTATTTGTTCTGAATTAAAAAATTGATCAAGTAATAATGATGCTGTTGATGAACTTTGTAAACGATCTTCTGTTATGGATACATTTTTTTCTGGTTCATGATGATGATATAAATGTGAAATTTTAATATTTGATATTGATGTTTGTTGGTCATTTACGTGTATTTTAGGTAATGAACGTGGTGGTACACGTTTAGAATTGATTCGAGTTGAATAACGTGTTGTATTTGGTGATGTTTCACGTGTTGGAGAATGATTTGAAGATTTTCTTGTTGTGGGATATGCAGCAGCACGTAACTCACGTGATAATTCTGCTATAGAATGATCTTCATGTGTTGAAACTAATTTCAATGGTTCAATGGGTTCATATGCTGTACGATTGTGTACCGGTGGAGCAGATGATGTATAATGAGAAGTTGATACTGTTGCGACTGATGGTGGTAGTGGTAACGGAGGTGGCAATGGACTATCCGATGAAAATGGTCTTCGAGTACCATCAATATTAAATTGTTGTAAAAGTTGCTGACTATATGCCAAATGTTGTACACGATTATGATCAGTAAATGATAAACGTCGTTGACGACTATCATCTGCACTATTTGTTGTTGCTGTTGTTGTTATTGTTGTTGGTAATGGATTTAATTGGGCAAGTGGTGTACGTCCTTGTAAATATGTTGGTAAACGTGTTGGACGTGAACTAGTACGATTTTTTAATATATTATAGCCAGATGATAGTTCAACTCGACGAGAAAATTTATGTATATCAGGTGTTGTATGAGTAAAATATGTTTCATTTGTTGATGATGTTGATGATGGTGTTACTATAGGACGATTAATATCATATAAACTAATCGGTGGTTCAGGTGTTGCTTCATAATCAGCTGTTGTTTGATCAAAATTTTCTCTTTCATTTGTTGTTAGTGCTCCACCAAAATGAAGTGAATCTCGAAGACGATTTGAAAAAAATTTACCCATCGATGTTGTTGATGGTTCCATTCGTCGATTAAGACCAAGACCTTGTCTATAATCATTCATCTAAAAAAAAAATTTAGAAAGACCAAATAATTAAAAAAAATAAAATAAAATTTTCTTTTCTCTTGAAAAATCAAGTAACGAAATAACAAAATAGTGTTTTAATGTGTTTGAAGGACATAGACATACTCAAATAAAAAAAAAAGAAAAAGAAATACTTTTCTCAAGAAATAAACACAACAGTTGGGAAGACAAGGTGTGTACGTTCACTCGACAACCAAATAGAAGGAAGAAAAAAAACAAAAACGAGAGAAGAAATCCGATCGCTAGATGAGATCATCGATCATACCTACAGGTTGAATTTCTTAACCAATTAGAACTCATAAAGTTAAAAAAATTTTCATTGGTGTAAAAAGCAAAAAAGTTTGTGCATTTCCATTCTCAACATTGACATTTTCAGATAAAGAAAAGATTGTTTTTGTTATTGTTTTTATAGATAAATAATGAGTACAAATGTTTATACAACGAAATTGAATCCGAGAGATGTTCAAATAAAAACATGGTCTGTACAACGAGCATTAGATCCATTAGTTGTGGAGGTTTGTTATAATTAATTTTGTCTTTTTTTAATAAAAATACTTATGTATTAAATTTATGTGAGCAGTTGTGCATAAAAAAGATAACATTGTACTTTTATGTTTAGAATCAATATTAGTATTGAAAGTTGTTTTCTTTTTTCTTATTTAAATGTAATACTGAAAAATATGATGAATAATCGATTCGAACCTACAATGTGATGCAAAACGTTATTTTCAAGTGATGAATTGATTAATATAGAAAAATTCTGTTTTTAATGCTTTTAGAAAATCTTAAATAAATTATATTTTTATAATAAAATTGAATTTTTCTCTCGAGTTTTTCTTTTTGGTACAAGAAGAAAAAACGAGCTAGAAAAGGTCTCAACGACCTTTCATGTTGTTGCTTTTCGGTATTCTATGAAAATCATCTTTTTTAACATTTAGGTTCTATTGTATTGTTTTTCTTTTGGTAGGAATGATTATAGAACATTATAACAGAATTATTCATTGAATTGAAGTTTTCGTGTAAGAATGAAGTAATCATAACTTTTTAATCAATTTGATTTCATAAGAATAATAACAAAGTTAATTAATTGTTTGTAATTGAAAAGTACGAGACTTCGCTCAAGATATATTTTTATTTTTTTCTATTATTTTTATGTGCATGCTTTAAGAAAAAAAAATAATAATAAAACGATTTTAGTGCAAAATTAACCTTATTTTAAAATAAAAATATATCGTTTGATTTGTTTTATTACAAAATTTATTTTTTGTTGACTTAAAAAAGAAAAATAATCAATGAAATTTTTTTGTTAAAGCTAATTGTGTGACCTACGCTATTTTTGTTACATTAATCAGACAACGATTCGACATTTCTAAAAATAACTATAAATATAAAAGTGTTAAATATCTAAGAAATTTATTCTTTGTAGGTAACTTCATTAATATCTGAACAACCATCAAATACAAGAAAAGGTCGTTCAAAACAAGCTCATCTATTAGTTGAAAATGTTATTCGAGCAACAGAAAATTTTATTAATAAAGCTGGTGAAATTGCTCATGAAAATCCTGATATGCGTAATGATTTATTACGAAGTATGAAAGAAGTTAAACGAACAGGTAACAAGAAAAAGAAATTTTTTTTCGATTGAATTTTCTTTTAAATTGAATATAAAAGGTGATGAAATGGTTGTTTTATCAAGAGAATTTGCTGATGATCCATGTTCAAAAACAAAACGTGAAAAAATGATTATTGCTGCTCGAGCTTTACTTACAGCGGTTACACAGTTACTTATCTTAGCTGATCTTGTTGATGTACAATCTATTTTAAAATCTACTCGTTTAGTATGTAGATTTAATTGTTTTATTTTATTTTATTTTACATTTATTTTAATTTTTCAGGTTGAAGAGGATTTACAACATATTTATAATGTATCAAATCAAGAAGAATTAATTCATTATTATAAACAATATGGAAAAGATCTTAACGATTTAAATCATCATGCACAACGACGACAACAAGTAAAATTGTTTTATTTTCTTAACAAAGATAACGAAAAATTATTGTTTTTCTCAAGGATTTAGTTGATCGAACTGAACAAGAAAATTTAGCCGCTGCACGTGCTACATTAAAACGATCATCAATGATGTTATTTTCATCATCAAAAACCTATTTGCGTCATCCTGAAATTCCTTCTGCACGTGAAAATCGTGATTTTATTTATAATCAATCACGTCATGCTGTTAATGTGATTTCTTCCATAATTCAAGGACAATATGAGACATCAACACATAATTCATCATTAAATACAATTGGAGATTTAACAAGAGCATTAAATGAATTCGATGTAAAATGTTTTCTTATGTAAAAAGAACAAACAATGAAGTCTAATAGTTGATTTATTTTAGAATATAATTATGATGAAACCACAAAAATTTAATGAACAAATTATTCGACCACAACTTGAAGGACGTCTTGAAGATATAATATCAGGTGCAGCATTACTTGCCGATTCATTATCAACAAGAGAAGATCGCCGTGAAAGAATTGTACAAGAATGTAATTCAGTTCGACAAGCACTACAAGAATTACTTGATGAATATATTAAATATGTACGAATAGAAAGAGAATTTTTAAATATTATTATACTTGATCTTTTTGTTTTCCTAGTCGAAAAAGAAAAGTTCAGATGAAAATGTTAATGAAAAAATTCAATTAATGCAAACAAAAACTCGTGATTTACGAAAACAGGTAAATGAATTTTTAATAGTCATTCGTTTTTTCTTTCTTTTCGTTGTTGTCTCGGTCCCGGAGGTCATGAAACGAAGTTCAATATAATGAACTAATTTGATGTACATATCATACATCAAGATTTCCTCTCTCTCTCTCTTTCATATATTTTCTTTTCTTTCGCATTGAATTATAAATGACCACTCATCTAGTAGGTGTGTCGACAAAGCGAAAGAAAAATATATAAGGGCAACATATTCATTTCTATATACATTTTTAATTATCAAGAGGTAGACCAAGTAAATGTCGAATTGCATGTCGTCATCATCGTTATCATCTTCATGATCATCGTCGTAATTCAGCCATAGGCGTTGATTGAATAATTTGTTACATCTATCGGCCAAAATATATCGACATACATTGAACATAAAGTCATAAAAAAAAAGAGAATAAAGAGTAAAGACAAGATTAATAAAGAAAAGAATGTATGTTTATATATGTGCTGGTAGTCCAAATCCAATACATGAAAGTACAAATATTAAATTATATCGAGAATCATCATTATCATCGATAGAATCCTTTGAATGTTCTTATTTAACACCTACAGAAACTGATGAAACATCGGTAGCAATTAATTTTAATTTATTTTATTTGAAAACTTTTTAATTTTGTTGTCTCTTTTCTCTTTAGCTTCGAAAAGCCGTTGTTGATCATGTTAGTGATACATTTGTGGCTACTAATGTTCCACTTCTTGCTTTAATCGATGCAGCACGACATGGTAATACTCAATTAGTTGAAGAAACTGCTCAAATATTTATAGAACATGCAGCTAAATTAATTGAAGTAGAATTAAAAAATAGTATCATAACGAAAAAAAATAACAAATTTTTGCTTTTTCAGGTTGCTAATGTCGTCTGTTCAATGTCTGATTCCATTGAAGGTATAAAATTAGTTCGTTTAACTACGAAACAAATTGAAAATCTTTCACCACAAGTAAAGAACTTTTTTTTTCAAAATAAAGTTATAGACCAATGAATTCTTTGATAGGTTGTAAATGCAGCACGAATACTTGCTGCACGTTCAACATCAAAAGTGGCTCTTGAAAATATGGATATATTCCGTGATACATGGGAAAAACATGTTCGGTTATTAACTGATGCTGTTGATGAAATAACAAAAATTGAAGATTTTCTTGCTATTTCGGAATATCATGTACTTGAAGATATTAATTCATGTATTCAAGCTATGGTTGAACGAAATCCCGATCGTATATAAAAACACAATTTGATTTGAGACACAAAAGAACGTTTGTTTTTTTTTGTTTTATTCAGGTGTTGATTGTACAGCAGGAGCTATTCGAGGACGATCAATGCGTGTTATTGATGTTGTAACTGCTGAAATGGAAAAATATGAACCAGGAGAATATACTGAAGCTGTTATGGAAAGTGTTCGAGTTCTTCGAGATCAAGGTAAATGAGGATTTTTCGTGTATTGAGATAAAGAAAAGAAGAATTTTTGTATCTAGTTATGCCAAATTTTGCTGAAAGAATTCAAATAGCTATTGATATTCTTCGAATGAAATCTGTACAAGACAATAGAACAGTAAATAAAAATAGTTTTGCTTTTGTTATAAAAATTAATTTTTTTTTGTTTTAGTATGAATTAACTGAACAAGAATTAATTGAAGTATCAAGTAATGTTTATCATTGTATACGTGATATTCGTAATAGTGTATTAATGAATCCGGTAAGTTCAATAGAACATTATAGTTTAGTCAAAATTTTGTGATATAGATATAGAACTGCATATAATATTTGAAAGTAAAGAGTTGTAATTGATGTCATGCCTATGAAAGATCTTCAAATGATGAAAAATTGATCGATAATATATTGATTTGTTAGAAGAGACAAATTTATTTCTCAAATACCAAAAGTGCTGTTGTTATTCTAGACTAGATGAGACTATGGGAAATTAGTTTATTCCTCTCGATGTAATCCTTTTATTTGAAACAGATGTAATCGTTTGTATATTGAATATGTATATTACGAAGAAACAGCAGTTAGTTAATGATTGACCTTTCTTCATTGGACATGTTGTATTAAAAGTTTGTTAAAAATTTGAAATCGGAAATATTGAAAAAATGGAAATTTTAATCGAAACTTCGATCGTTTATAATTATTCTTGAAATAGAATGATTTACAGATTAAAATATAAAATACAACAAAACTTTTTTACGTTGGATTATACTCAAAGTTACGATGTCGTTGATTGTAACACGATTGTTGCATGTCAGACAAATACTCTAGCAACATTTGTTCTCATTATACTGAAAGCGAAAGGTTGTATCAGGACGGAGATTAATTTGAGGACGAGATCTATATCTAATTTCATTACTTTTCTAATTGGTTTTTGATTACTCGATGTTGTTAATAAGAGCCGTAAGGAAGGAAATGTCATTGTAGCAACAGTTGTAGATTTGACTACAGCACTATTATACAGAATAGAAAGTTCGAATAGTATTTCTCTTTATATATATTGATAATACAAATAGTACTACATAATTCTTCAATATTGCATCATTCTACAATTAATGTAATAATAACAAAATTTCAATGAAAATTACTCATATTTGTTTTAAATAGATAAAGAAAAAGTTTTTGCTTCTATCCTTCCTATTCAGCAGAAAGTTATTCAGAAAGATCTTTGTTCTGTTTTCAGTAATTATGCTTCATTTTGCAGAGAAAAGTTGCAGCATGTTGAAAATAATTTCGTGAAGATCAGCAAGAGCTTGAAGGTAAAGCACAACTCGATAGATTAGCAGCTGAGAAAAAGTCTGAAATTATTGAATAACTTCATTACATTAGTAATGACGATTTTTATTTTACGATTGACCAATGGCAACTGTGAACTGAACTGAGTTATAACAAAAGAATAACGAACTACTTAAGAAATAAAGAGCTTTGTTTGAAGTATCAGTATATATAAAGAGAAAATTTCCTCGAGATATCTATACAATATTATAATGTCAGCGTTATTACTTTTCGCATACCCTAAATATATGAATGTCAATCTATATTGTCAATAAAAATTGCCTGGTTGATCATCATGCTTGTAGAAAAGATCAATGACAATCATTTATCACGAAATTTTTCTTTTTCTTTCTTAATGAATCATGATGGACAAAAATATTTGTCGTAGTCTTCATGAAAAAACCTAATACTTGTTAAAAATAATATTGATAATAGAAATGGGCTTGTATATTTCATTGAATACTAACCATGATTTGTCTATTTGTATGTAATTAGAAAGAAATAGTCAATATAGTATAATTACACTTACGAAAATGAATAAAGAAAAATGTATGAATGATAAATATATTTCATAATTTTTAAGGATCTTGAATGGCTTAGTGATGATGAAGATGGTTTAAATGAAGAAATTTATGCTCAATCTCAAACATCAAGTCATGGACCATCATCCGATGGTCAACAAGTAGATCTTGAAATGTATCCAGGCAAAAATGATAATCCTAGTCGCGTATGAATTGAAAAAATATATATTTTTTTCTTTTTATTTATATTTTAATTGTCTATAAAATAAGGATTTGATGAGACGATTACCAAAAGAAGAACGTGAACAAATTGAAATTCAAGTTGAAGGTTTTAAAAAAACGAAACGTGATTTTGAACGTGAAGTACTTAAATGGGATGATCGTGGTAACGATATAATTGTTCTTGCTAAAAGAATGTGCATGATAATGATGGAAATGACTGATTTTACTCGGTGAGATTTTCTAAAAAAACAACCATTTTTTAGTATAACAATTTAATTTTCTTTAGTGGTCGTGGACCATTGCGTACAACAATGGATGTAATTAATGCAGCAAAAATGATATCTGAATGTGGATCAAAATTAAATAAATTAGCTAAAGATATTGCAGCTCAAGTAAATTTTTGAATATATCTTTTTAAATATTGAAATAAAATTTTTGATTTTGAATAGTGTGTTGAATCTCAATCAAAATCTGATCTTGTTGCTTATGTTGATCGTAAGTAATCATTTTATTTTTAATATCAAAATGTTTTTTTTTCTCGTTCTTTGTTTCATTCTTAAGGCATTACTCTCTATTGCCGTCAATTGGATATAACAAGTAAAGTTAAAGCTGATGTACAAAATATAAGTGGTGAATTAATTGTTAGTGGAGTATGTATATCTTTGTTTTTAATTGTAATTGAAACTTTTAATTTGATTTCATTTTTTTATTAGCTTGATAGCGCAACTTCATTAATAACTGCAGCGAAAAATTTAATGAATGCTGTTGTACTTACGGTTAAAGCATCGTATATTGCTTCGACAAAATATCGTAATAAATCGGGAAATAAAGAGGTAAAATATATATTTAAGATTTTCATGACGATTTGTATTGACGTTACTTTTTTTTTTCTTCATTAAGCCAATTGTTCAATGGAAAATGCGTTTACCAGAAAAGAAACCATTGGTATTAATTGATCGACAGAATGAATTAGATTCACGGATAAGAAAAGGTTCCGCTAAAACACGACTTGAACCATTACATGTTTTAAGTGAATTCCAGAATTAAAATAAAAATAATTTGTCAATTATGAATTTAAGTTTGCTCATATTATTAATGTAATCTTTAAGATACAATCTTTGTTTCTTTTCCTTTTTTCTTTACTGCTTTTATGAATATACTTTATATCTGATATGACGATTTCCATTATTTGCGAAAATGTAGACTTTCAATTGTTTTATTTATTGTGCATTAGTCACATCTTATTGGCTCTAATTGTGAATTAAACATTTCTACTAGTAATATAATCATATATTTGCCATAGTAAAGCAAAGTATTGATCATTATTATCATTTATATTCATTACTAACCAGGGAACATTCCCAGGTGTTGGAGCGATTTTTAGTCGAGACTTTGCGCATCTTGTTGGCCTTGCTGCAAATGTGGGATCTTATAGGAAAAATTCACTAAAACCTTGATATCTCACTAGGAACANCCTAGTGAGATATCAAGGTTTTAGTGAATTTTTCCTATAAGAGCCCACATTTGCAGCAAGGCCATATTTTTGAATTTTGATCTGAAACTTTGCCCACATAAACACCTCAGTTAGACTAGTTTGTATAAAAAATTTCGGAACTTTTGGACAAAGTCTCTTCGAGATATGAAGCTTTCAAAAATGCATGCTTTATACGCTATCTATGGAAAACGGCTTATACGTTGAAGGCTTCATATTTCGGAGAGACTTTGTCCAAAAGTTCTGAAATTTTTTATGCAAACTAGCTGGCTGAGGTGTTTATGTGGGCAAAGTTTCAGATCAAAATTGAAAAATATGGTCTTGCTGCAAATGTGGGATCTTATAGAAAAAGTTCACTATAACCTCGATATCACACTAGGAACAAGCTAGGGGCACGAACTTTTTTTACGGTAGACATAATTTATCAAGGCCTACAAGATGCGCAAAGTCTCGACTAAAAATCGCTCCAACACCTGGAAATGTTTCCTCGTAAGCAGTGAATAGTATATGTGAAAAAAGTTTCAGCTCGATCGAATATACTACGCTAAAGAAGCGGAGGTGTTTATGCACATGTTTTTTATGCAAAAGTTCGTTTGGAAAAATGCGATTTGCTATTTCCGTTAGCTAGATTTGATGTTTTAACGTTGAAAGACAATTTTTGGATTCCAAAATTTACTCAATAGATAGATATTACTTCAGATTATACAATGGCCACAACAAATTATGTGTCAAGAAAGGGGGAGGTACGCTGAATTGTTGAGGTTACTTGCACGTCAGAAGGATAATATGTAGAGTAATTTCAAAGAAAACTCACATTCCATATATTAGTTTTCCAAATAATATATAAATTTATGTATAGTAAATTGTGAGATATATCACTTCTTTAGAATAGAATGAGATGAAATCGTTATACTTTGAAAACGGTAATTCAATTTTTATCTATACGAATAATACTATTTTTTTAATTCTTAAAGTACACAATAAACAACAAAAACAGAATATAGAGTTTGATACAACGAAACCTCTATTGATGTAGATTTTTCATTTTGAAGAAGGTCTTCGTTCTATGAATATATTGTTTTCACAGTCGTAATTGTTATTATAACCTCTATCTAAATGAACACACTCGCTTTTATCTTTCCTCTTAGATATGCGCGGCATCGAGATTTTCAGTCTCGAACCCACTCCACAGAGGTCTATTCCAGATCTTCTCTTCATCATTTCTGATTACTGTACTAAAACTGTTGTTCATTGTTTGTTGTCACTGTACATATAAGCGGAAGTAGTTGCATCACAACAATATCTTGCAATAAATGAAAAATTCAATTTAATTATTAAATATAACAATGGCTGTGATAGCTCATCACAATGCGAATTAGCTGAAAACCGAATATTTTACTTGATTATGTATCCAATATTTTAAAACAAAAATTCAAAAGTTTTTCGATGTAACGAAGTCTAATGATCCGTTAACTCTGATGAAATAAAATGCAACATTGATCACATAACTGAATATTTCTTTTTTTGCTGAAAATATTTCAATGAGATTCAATCTTAAGAAAAATATTTTTCGATCGTATCGACTAAAACATTATTTTTATTCATAAAAAAACAAAAACAAGTCGTCATTAAAAAAAGCAAAGCTTCTACATTTAAAAGAATTTCGATTAAAACTTTACATAATATCACCGAAATATTTGTATTTATTCAACCTATAAAAAAATATGATAATAAAAACGAAAAGAAAATCTTTTAAAATTAACTATTCTTTCACTCACTTGAGTAGTTTCTGAATTACCAAAATTAATATAATCTTTTCTTGTTGCTGCACGATATTCATCCATAAGTCCTTGTACAGCCTAAAATTAAAAGGAAAGATAATAACAAAAAAAACCAAGAAAACTTATTGTCTTACTTCACGTGAATCAGTAAATTCATCGAGATTCTCTTTAAACATTGGTAATCGACGAAAATTTTCTACGAATGCTTCACGTTTTATTAATTTATCATAATGTTCACATATTCGGTCAAATAACTGAATGAACATAATTCAATTTTATTTTATGAATAAAAGAAAATAACATACTGATGATATGCCTGTATGATTAGCAAGCATTAATCCACTAACACGATGTTGTGTCGTAACATATGGTGATTTCTTTGATAAAGCTACTTGTATTGACGCTGGACCCCATGGAATAAATTCTGCTAATTTTCGTTCACGAATACGCATTAGACTTTTATGAACCTATTTTTAAATATTAATTCAATAGAATAAGAAAACAAAAAGAAAAAAAGAAAATACCTCGGATGGATCAACTTCACCTTGAATTATATTCAATATTGAAACATAACAATGAGTTATATTTTTATCACGAGATGCAGTTGTAACCATAACATTTTTCGGTTGTAATAAACGACGCATTACATCGAGAACAGTTGTTTTACGTACTTCAGATTCCTATTATAGTTAGTCATGTAAAATGCAATAGTGTAATCAAATATTTTTCATACTGTATTATCAGATGTTAGTGGTGTATAAGCCGAAATAAGAAAATGTAAACGAGGCGTAGGAATGAGTGATGATATAAGACTAATTAAATCATTATTCATATAACCTGGATAACGAAGTGTGGATGTACTACCAGACATAATAGTTGATACCTTTAATAAAATTTACCAATGATATAAAAATTTTTATAAAAAGAAAAAAGTAAATTACTAGTTGATTAAGTTCGGCAAATGTTGGCGTTGTCTTTTTAAGACGTTCTGTTGCAATACGATTTAATGCTGTATTATCTAAGACAACCTATTCGTAGTAAAATCAGTGAGAAAATAATTAAATTAATTTTCTTTAAATAAATTTAACTTACAGTACAGTCAGCATTTTCAGTTAAACGTTTGAGTGTCAAAATTGAATTATATGGTTGAACGACAACATCTGCCTATTCAAAGAAAAGATTTTTACTTGTACCAGGTGGGTAAAAATATTTTTTCAGGATGGTAATGCTATGGTTTCAAATAGAATTCATAACAAATTTTATACCAAATTAAAGCGCATCGAAAATGGAATTTATCAATGCTAAATAGGAAAGGTTATGACAACTTTTTAGTGCCAAATTCAAGAAATTTCTAGAATTTCACACCTTTTCCACATTGAAAAATTACTTTCATGGGGAAGTTCAAACTAGATCTCATTTACAATGATGAATAACACAAAGTACTTGACACCTGATCTAGAAATATTGGAACAATAATGAAAAATAAAACTGAAAGAAAATGCTATAGTAGGTGAAACACTATCGTTATAATGACGAAACTTTGAAAAACATTTTTCAAATGTTTTGGCAAACATGAAAACAAACATTGAGTTATTTGAAACCGTTTCATATTCATATTTGTCTCATCTTCGTGCTGTAAAGAAAGCTAATGGTCATTATACTGATTATTGGCAATATTCATCAAACCATAAGATATAAATAGTACTTTGTGATATTCGTTATATTAAATGAGATCTAGTTTGAACTGCCTCATGAAAGTAATTTTTCAATGTGAAAATGGTTTGAGATTCTGGGAATTTCTTGAATTCGATACTAAGAAGTTGTCATAACCTTTACTATTTAGCATTGATAAATTCCATTTTTGACGCACTTTAATTTGGTATAAAATTTATAATGGATTCTATTTGAAACCATAGTGTTACCCCATGAAAAAATATTTTTACCCACCGTGTACAAAAATATTTAATCAAATGTTTTAACTATTTTAACGACATTCTTTATTCATAAATAGATCTTAATGTCATACGGAACAGCTCAAAAGAATTCATTTCCTTGAAGCTTTATTCTTGAATCATGCATGCATAATAAAGCATCCGGTCATGAACAAGATCTTTAAGGAATAATCATATGAACAGATTTAGATCACAGACTTATTTTATAGGAAGCATAAGTTAATGGGAACTTTCAAGATATTTTAGTACTTCTTCTAACTAGTTATTACTTAAAATTTCAAACTGATACTCGTTTATTTAATTTTTTCTTAAAATATCTTGTTTATGACCGAAAACTTAGTAATGTATTTATTACTCAACAAAGAAAATTTAAGGAAATGAATTCTTTTCAAATTTTTCCGCACCGCATCAATGTTAACTTATGATTAAAACATGAGGTCAAAACGATTCCTCGTTAGTATTTTCAATCAGATTAAGCTTATATTTTACGGATGAACTAAACTTTAAATTTCATATACTGTCTCACGAGCAATATTAGTTGGATTCTGATAAATTAATTCAGACTTTATCATGCGACACATATTCCTTATTAACTACTGAATGATACAAAATTGATCCGAATTATTAAAAAAAAAACTTGTCATACATCCTCGTTGATTGATGAAAAATGAACTAAAATGATTATTGCCTATAAATCTAAAGAACTTCTAGATAACTAATGATAATGTAGTCTTTAAGTTACCTCATAATTATATCGTTAAATCGAATATCACATTCCCTATGAATGTTTCCGATTAACAGCTGGAGGCAATTCATTATAAATATGATTTGTCTCAAGAATCGGTCAAATGAAAATTGATGTTCTGTTTTAAATTTGATCTCAACTTATGATTACAAGTTATGATAAAGGATACAACACTATTTAATATAGATATTTCAATGAGACATTTCCTTCGCATAATTTAGTACAATGAAGACAGAAAAGAAAACAATTGAAAAATGTCATTCTCATTATATTTAGTTTTCTCACCACTTCATTTGTCATAGGAAAAACCGAATAAGTTTGAATTAATTTTTTTGGAAATCTATCATATAGATTAAAAAGAAAACTATAATTGATTATAATTATTTGAAAGATTTGTTCACCGATCATTGAGTTTTTCGAGAATATTACTACCCATTCCTGAGCCAGTACCACCAGCTATTGAATGACAAAGTACAAAGCCCTATAGGAATAAAAATTGAAAAATAATAATAATTCAACAAAGACACTAACTTCAAGAGAATCGCCATTATCAGCTTCTCGATCAATAATATCAAAAATTTCTTCAGATAATTTATCGCCTTGATGATAACCTTGCGCCCAATTATTACCTATAAAAAAATGATGATTACATTCAGGATTATTAGATTTTTTTCTAAATAAAAAAACATACCAGCGCCTCCACCATCTTTTGAAATATAAACATTCTCAGGATTATATAAATGTTTATATGGTGATTTCAAAATACCATCAATAACACGAGGTTCAAGATCAAGTAAAACAGCACGTGGAATGTAATGTTGATCATCAGCCTAATATCAATAAATATATTTCCTTTATCAACAAATATATCGAACAAACCTGATAGAAAAAGACATCTTTTCTATCAGAACCTTCTGTTGCAAATGGTTCCAGTTTGCCTTCAGGACTGATTCCATGTTCAGCACATAGTTGTTTCCAAAACTCCATACCAACTAGAGAATAAGTGAATATAAAAATGATCAATTTTCAAGAACAACTAAATATCCAGAATCAAATCAACTGAAGATACAAATGGTTTTTATTCGAATGTTGAGAATGCACTTAGGTAATAGTTTATAAATATTAGAATTTCAAATGAAATACTGTCAAAAGAATTTTTTTCTTATTTGTCACTAAAAATTATTTCCACGAGATCAAATATTCTTAAGTAAAACTACTGTTTTTACTGAATTCATAAATAGTTATTCTCCTTTTTTTGTTGATATACAAAAGAAATATTCTTTTCAACGAATTAAGTCACCTTGAACTATAAATAAGAAATGTGCAGTTGAATGTCATATTTTTTCATAAATGTTTATTATTTAAATGCAATTAATTTGAATAGAGCAGTTTATGCAAACAGTCTTTTCAAAGAGATTAATCTTATGTAGTTCAGACCGTCATGGCTGAGTGACTGCGTTATTCGACACGCATGTACAAGGTCCTGTATACACACCTCAATACTACCAACCATGAAATGACCCTGAACAAGTAAATAAGAGCTGTTTGTCTCGAATCATCCGTCCAATAACATATTGATTACATGGTGATATACACCTGCTCTTATGATTAGTTAGTGTGTATGAGGGTGTTCAAGTAATTGAGTGGAAGCATTCTGTATCAGACTTGCCTTCTGTTCCAAGCTACAACTTGTACTAGTTATAAGGAAGATATCGATCCAGTAAATCTGCGGTTACGTAGTACCTCATACCGCAAGACAGTCGAAAGGCAGGGTTATCCTTCCTACCATATGTGGGTCTAGTTTATTTGTAAAATACAATAGTCATAGTAAATTAAAAGATACCAATTCAAATCCTATAACTGTAAGATTTATCAGTAAGAGCTGGTATGAAATGTTTACATTTCTATATTCGAAAATTTTTAAAAATAAAATCTGTAGTACTCATTTTGAAAAAAAACACACATTTCATTAGATAAACAAATTTTTGTTTGTTTGATTTGTTATACTCTTGCAAAAGTTAGATCATTTTTTTAGAAAAGAACGTGTCTATTGATGATTCTAGATCAAATCATCCCATAATTTTATAATAAAATATTATCAGTTTATGAAATAAATTATCATCTTATGTTAACTTGTTTAAAAATTTCATTAGAAAACAAATATCTGGATATTTTCCCTGAATAATTTTTCTCAATATACTAACAAAGTCAATTATTCCTAAATCACTCACTCTGATTGCCACATTGTCCAAGTTGTAATGTAATAATTTCACTAGGCATATTCTTGTTCTTTTTTCTTTTAAAACAAAATCAAAATCTTCAAACAAAAGACAACAAAAGTAATAACTGCAATATCTTTGGGTACGTTAGTTGGTTAACTTATTTCCAGAAAAAAGAAAGAAAGAAAAAAAGAAAAAAAGAAAGATCAAATGATTAGAAAGAAGCAGCAAGACAACACAATTATGCTTAAATGAAGAATAAAGAAATCGTACATGAATTCATTCGATTTTCAAGCGATATTAAGAATTTTCTTTTTGAGATAAATATGAATACACAATGTGACAAAAGAAGAAAGAAATAAGTATTATCAATAAGGAAGGATTCGTGAAGAATATGACACAAACCTCTGAGACGCAATAAAACAGTCTGTTCACATTTTGGTTTGTTATTTGTTTGTCTTTTTTTCTCTGGTTTTTTAATAATTGAATGTTGCTTGATTTACACACAGACACAACATGCTGATTACATTTAACAAAAAGAAAAAGAAATAAAGAGACAAACATTCAATGAAATGAACATCAAAGCCAGGATTAATAAAGAGCGCTCATGTAAACCCAAAAAAGAAAAGATCTTGTAAAGTAACACACACCGGAATAGAAGGATAAATTCTAATATATGTTTTTCCTATTTGAAAGGTTAGAATGTTTACATGCGCCCTTACAAAAATAATAATAAAGTCTAGTGTGTGCTTAGTTATTAGTTTTTATATGTGATAATATAATTGTTTATTTTTAATTGTTACATGAAAAGAGAAAATAACCGAATGAAAAGCCAAATAATAATGCAATAACAAAAGCCACAAGAACAAGTTGTTCAGTTAAAGCAATACCAAAAAGAACAAGACCATTTTGTTGTTGCTGATTCGATTTAAGTCGGTCGACGACAGGATTAACACCTGTTGTTCTTTGACGAAGACCACTTTCTTGTTGTTTAAGTCTTTCCTACAATAGAATTATATAAAAACTTCACATTATAAAAAGAAAAAAGATTTACTTTTAGAACTTCATTTTCATCTTTCAAACGATCAATTTCTTGTCTAAGACGTGTTTTACTCGACTCGTCAACCATATCCTAAGAAAAACAAGAAGAAATTTAAGTTATACAAACAATTTTCAATAATAAAAAATGAATTTTTATCAAAAACCAACAAAAAATATATCGTAAAAGGAAAAAATTAAGCAATGTGAATAAGATGAAAAATGAAATTTAGGTTTGGTTTATCCGTATATAATCCAATAAACATAAGACAGAACCTGTTGACGATCTTGATTTTGAGATGAAAGAGGATTTATTGATCGTGAAACAGTCGGTGATGTTGATTTTTGATTTAAAACTGATGATGATGAAGGCGCTGTTTGCTGTTGTGTACGATTTTCAGTTAAATTTGTTGATTCAATCTAAATGCGTACGATAATACATGCAAGCAAAATAAGAAAAATATAATAAGGATAATAACACAAGTGTGAAATAATCAGGCAATTCTGTTGTCAATTAGTCAAACAAAGACGGACAAACAAATAAGATTAAGAACTAATTATTATACTCACATTACGTAAAGTTGACTAGAATATAAAAGTTTTTCATTCAGTTAACAATTTATTATAAACCAAAAAAAGAAAAGAAAATATTTCATCAAATTTAATTATAGATAGTTCTATTCTTATAAACTTTAGGGAATTACGAACGAAATTTTATTGTTATTTTTAAACTAAATTTCAAAGTTATAAAAAAATAGAAAATTAAGAAAGTTTTTTCCATAAAACAATCATCCTTCTATAAATATCAATTGACTTGTTATAAATGACATATATCTCAGTTTTTTTCTTTTCCTATTGTGTCATGTGGGCGTATACATATAGTAGATGAAAGCATGAAACAAGCGTTGCTAATCACACAGTCTAACATTGTATATGACAGAACAGCAAAGATGTCAACAAAAACTAANATAAAAAAATAGAAAATTAAGAAAGTTTTTTCCATAAAACAATCATCCTTCTATAAATATCAATTGACTTGTTATAAATGACATATATCTCAGTTTTTTTCTTTTCCTATTGTGTCATGTGGGCGTATACATATAGTAGATGAAAGCATGAAACAAGCGTTGCTAATCACACAGTCTAACATTGTATATGACAGAACAGCAAAGATGTCAACAAAAACTAATTACAGTCTTCTTATCCAATTTTGTCGACTAGTTCGAATTAATATTTTTTTAATACTGAATATAACTTCTCGACTTTTGTTTTATCAAAGAATAAATTTGAATTAATTAATAGTAAGAAAATTCGGGTCCAATTAACTTACTGCATCTACTTCACGATGTCCATGTGAATCATTAGGTACAACAGCTGCTGCTTGTTCATCAGAAAATACACATTTTAATTTTGAATCTTGTACATTAAGACTTTTGAGATCTTGTTTCCACTGAAAAAAAAATTGAAAAAAAAATTATATCATTTTATCTTTTTATTTTCTCTTACAAAATTATCCACATCTTCTGTATAATTACTTGGTACAGCAACCCATTGCACCATAAATTTATGTTTAGTACGATCATCAGGTTGACCAGCTGTTTGTGGTTGTAACATAACTAATAGAACGAAAAAAAAAACAACTAAGTATAGAACTTTTATTGATTTGTTCTATTTAACCTTGTATATTAGTAGATGCATGTGCATCAAGAAAACCACTATTTGGTTTCACACAATAACGTTTTGGTGCCGTTGTTTTAATTTTATAAGCCAGTCGTTCATTTCCACTATTTGATAATTTAAGTGTTGTTATTGAAACGACATTGAATGGGCCTTTAAAAATTAGATCACTATTCGGAATGAGTTCAAGTGTCATAATTTCTTTTCTCTTTCTCAATGCAAATCGTTAAAATATTAGTCTATTTTTTTCTGTTTTAATGTAAACAAACAGAGGAAGACAAATGAATTAAGATTGCGTTTTTTTTCCTTGTTGTATGAATGTCTAAAACGTAATAAAAAAAAGTGCTAAATGTCAATTAGAACTTTTATCGCATGATCTCAGCAAAAAAGAATAAATAATAAATATGTTTTATATAGATAGTTAATCAATCATTTTTCATCTGAAAACTTTAACACATTTATGCACTTTGTTGTTTTATATGAAAAATATTCTTTTAAGAAATTTCATATTAATAGAAATAAATATTTTTAACTTTTTTAATTAATAATCATTTTGATTTGATTAAATAAATGGAGGAGTATGAAAGGTTTCTAAGCTAAGAAAAATAAGAATAGAGATATACAGTTACACACGAAAATATAAACAAGAGTGTATTTTCTTTTTTAGTAATAAAATTGAGAAAAAATAAACTCCTTTACCTTTTTTTCTCTAGAGCAAATAAGTATCAATCTAATTCAATTTTGATTCTTTTAATAAAAATGCGTGTTGTTGTATTACCTGTATGTTTACTCGAATCATACCCACATGTTCTTCTTAAATATGATTTTCGAGTTATTCCACCAACGTCAACACAAACACAAATACCAGCATCACCAGCTGTTCATTCAACAACATCATCAATAAGTGGTGCAAGTAATAAATCAAACATACGTTCACAAGAATTTTATTTAACTCCATATTGTTCACCAATTCTTCCAACGGGTTCAATTCATACTGTATGTGAAATTATTAAAGGTTCAACTGTTCTTCGATATTTATTTGATGTTAAAAAAGAAGATGAAGAAAATCTTGAAAATAAAGTAAAGAATTTATTTTATCATAAAGAAAAACGAAACAATAAATCTTATACAATTGAATTTTTAATATAGATTGATTTTAAAGGACATTGTCGTTTTATTGCATTTGGTCCTGAAACAGATATTTGTATATGTGCTTTATATATTCCACACATATCATCACTTGAATTGAATTATATCAATCAACCTGATCCACCACTTTCACGACAACAATCTAAATTGAGTTATGTTCGTTTACCATCTGATCCAACAATGAAAGAAATAGCATTAGCATATGGTAATCCAGGTAGTGAACATTTACCAGCAACAGCATTTGTTGCACGTGATCTTGTTCATTTATGGATATCAATACGTGATATTCGTCATAAATTAGTACATATTGATCGTGTTCTTAAACAACCTGGTATCTTATCAAAATTAACACATGTTGAAAGTTGGGTTACATCATACAATGGTAGTACTAGAGAAAAAACAACTGAATCAGAAACTGATGCAGCACGACGACTTATTAAAGCACGTGCACGTACACTTGTTTGGGATATAATGGAAATGAAAAATGAAATTTTATATCCACATCCAGGTTAGTATAAAAACGAAAACAAAAGAAGAATTTTCAACAATGATAAATTTTATTTTGTTCTTTAGCGGATATATCATTACTAATATAAGTCATTTCAGAGAAAATAGAACCTATCAACCTTTTATTTGATTTTGACTCTTTACAAGGATTAGTCCTCTACATAAGTCTCAAGTTAAACTGTATGGGAAAAATCGTATCTTTTGTGAAATTTTGAGCCAGATCGAACTCCAAAAAAGTTTCTCTTAAAAACCGATTTTCTAGAGATCGTGAAGAAGGATTTTTACCTTATGAAAGTGGTTTTGAACTTCTCATTCGATTATAAGAACATTTTTTGTTTGTACATTCATACTCGGTCACATCGCTAACACTAGTTTTTCTACTAATAACTCGTCTAAACAAGGATCTCTAGTGTTGATTTTTGTAGAGTATGTAGAATAACTGAACATATAAAAATTAACTCAAGGAAAGTTCATTACTGCGAGATAGACGTGTTTTGATTTTGTTGATATATATATAAACATGAATAAATTGCAACATTTTCGGTACGATTGACATTTAAGCTGTATTCATCTAATAAATTTTTGTTCAATGATCGATTTGGACAATTTTTTTTATATGTTACTCCTCTTAGATTGTCCCTCACATCAAATTTCAGTTTTCTAGTTCATACTGTCATTGCTTTATGCAACTCTTCCTGTGAAAAAATCATATTTTATTGAGAGTCATGTTGAGAAAACGAAGTCTTATAAGCATTAAAGGAAGGAAAAACAAACGAATAGTCCATCTTGTACAGCCTGAACTGTTCTTTCGTATTTTTCTATCTGCTTGGTCATTCGGCCAAATTATTTTATGGCACACACTTATTTATTTTCGTGTAGAACGATATTATTTTTCATTTTTTTCTGCCTGTCTACGAGTCAATGAAAAACAAAAGTATTCAAAATGTAGTTCACTTTACGGTGAACAAATTAATAAGAAAAGATCTTATACTCAGGAAATTCCATTTTCGATAAAATTTCGCTGAAATTTTTATTGTAGATAAGATTCTCAGAGCTGTAAAACCAGTTCAGAATTCAGCCGTCTATCTCGTATCATTTTCGAGAAATATACCTTATATAATGATATGTAGAACGATATTTTTCGTACAATATTTCAAACCATAGTGAATCGATATAGATTGCAACCGTCGATTGTAAATCTAGTTTCATACGTAAAATGTCGGTGAACTATAACTCATTATTTCCATTAAACTAATGTTTCTCACGTTAAACTTACATGGAAGTAAAGTGTATCTCGGCTAATATACTGTAGTGTTGGGAAACTTTTACTGTGTATCATAGGCATAGAGTATAACACAACACTGATTTAGAAAAACCGTAGAAGTGCAATGCCTACGCATCAATAAGTTAAGGACACAAACTCTGTCCAAAGTATTTATAGCTAATTTGGATCTGCAAAGTCCGCATCGTCTTGACTCATCAACGATTTATTAGTTGGAGGACTTTCCTTCTCAGCAATGATTTCGTTCAACTTTTCGTTTTTCGAATTAATCGTACCACAAAGTTGCAACTCACTCATATTTATATCAATAATTCCGCATCACTTGTTGTTAGAAACTATTGATAATTATTTCATGAGTTTCATATGCTATGCAAATTGAATTGCATTCAGTTCAACTGTGAGTTCCAATATTTTTCAAGTCTTTTTTGGAACAATTCAATATAAATCAAATTTTGATGAGATATAGAGACATTCTATGTTTTTCATTCAACTATTTATAATAATATCTGAAGAAATTTATAAAAAAAATTCGTACTTGATTAATCTTACATTAAAAAAAAATTCTATTTTAGTTCATGGACGTATTCCTAATTTTCGAAACAATCCAGATTGTTCAACAAATTTGGCTCAACTTGAAGAATTTCAACGAGCACGTGTTATTGAAATTTGTCCAAGTCTTGCACAAGAACATTTACGTTTATTTTCATTGGCTGAAGGTAGATATCAAAACAGAAATTAATCTTTATTCTAATTTTTTTTATTTCAGGCAAAGTACTTCTTACTCCAGCACCATCCATTGATAATGCACTTTTCTATAAACTTGATCCAAAATTTTTACATGTTCATGATTTATCACGTGCAGCAACAAAATCTGGTCTGTAGTTCTTTTGTTTTTAAATCTTTAAAATGATAAATACTTTTTTTAAGGTACTGCTGCTCTTGGTACAATTGTTAATTTAACAGCTGTTGGTAATCTTCATGTTGATATTGTTGTTGTGGCTTCTGTTGTTGTCAATCCAATAAGTGGTGCTCGTTTAGGTAAATAAATTTCACTCTCTATACTTCAGAAATGAAATCAGTATTGGTGAGTTGCCTAAGTAAGAGAGTCTGATGATTCATTAAAAAATATCTTCATTCGACTTTCTATGGTATTTTGTCTGATAGCATGCGTCTTCAAATGAATATCTGCCAGTAGCAAAGCAAAAATTACGTTTCTATCACGATTTTGCATGAAATTTTTTTTAAAAATGCTTCAGAAAGTTCTCAGGAGGAACAAAACGATTTCTATTAAGAGAAATCACTTCTCATCTGTTCACCACGAATCAATAAGAATCGTCAAAAATGAAGAAAAATCACGAGAAATCATTATAAATCAGGGATTTTAACCTTAATCTCTTTACTGGAGATTTTCTATGATATAGAGTGATTTCTAAGGATTCCGATAATTCTTTACCCCTTTCCAGTCGTGGTTTGTATCCATAAAGCGTTATACTGATTTCTACCACTGAAATCAGTTTGTTTCTTATGGAAAATTCAACATTTTTGGAAACGGAAAATTCCTACTATCCTCTCCCTAATTGATAACTCTGTTGCCGAATATATACTCAACATTTCTCTAGGATGTATGATTTAAGAATTATGTGCACAAGTTATATTACCGACTTTTTCTTTTGCATAGAATTAAAAACGAGATTGTTTCTACGCAAAGTGATATAAGAATCAAGAGTTTTAGAACAATTAGATCGAGCTTACTTTGCAACTGTGTTCCTCATAGAAATCGGTCTGAATTGACACGATGTAGCTTATTCAAATACCCACTGTTGACAGATGACTTGAAGTAAACTAATCATTTCTATATCATTTTTGAGAAATATTTGTTCTTTCATTGGCTGTATTCGAAATAATGTTCGATTCTACTTTGCATAAGTTTTGGCACGTTGCAATCTGTCCAAACTCAGTGTACTGATCTCGAAAAGGTCGGCTCATAACAGGGTTTTATTCAGATTTTCTCTTCTGAAGGAGTAATTCAAACCTTTGCGAGGGTGGTCGCTTATTCTTGAGAGAAAAACTACAATACATGGTATAATAATCACAAAAGTTTGGGAAAATAGACGGACATATTCGGAACGTGCACAAATTTCTGCAGACTAAAAAAATGAACGAACATTTTGTCAAATTACTTTTCGATTATGATTATTTTTTCATCTTATCACTCTATCTAGATTAGTAATTCAAGATTTACGATCAAAAATAGTTTA